GCTCAAGTATCACTTCCAGCGCAGTATCAACCATGGGCGGGTGGTCTAGTGGTTAGACTGCTCGTCAGGTTAGACACCGAGTGTTTACCCAGGATACACATGCAAGGTCCTGGGTTCAAACCAGGGGTGGGGGTAGTAGCGCTCTCTAATAATGAGTCGCTGCAGTACCTTTTGTTCCTTCCTTCCTTCTTTTTTTATTTGTAGTGAAATAAATTAGGAAGCTATTTGATTTTGATTTCTCTAGAGGAGAAAGAGGCTTTGCCTGATGTTTTTGTGCTCTCGGCGTGAGGTCGAGCAGACTCTTCTCTATTTTAAATCACAGCGAATTACGGCATTTTGCATCATGTGTTATTTTAGAGCACGTATACCGAAAACTGTGTCATTTTAGACCTTTCCCGTAAATATAAGGTTTTTTATATCACTTCAAATCTCAGTAAGTAAGAGATAGTGCTGTGAGGAGATCCTGGGCTCGAATCCCAAGTGCAGAGGCATCCCCATACCATCTGCGGACAGGAAACTCGGTGCAGTAGCCCAAATGACTGCCCCAGGCCAGCTGAGCCTACCCAATAGTAACAGGACCCGCGCGTTACTTTGGCCGCATAGATAAATTGGCCAGTTCCCGACGAGGAGTGGTGAGCTTTGTAGTGGTTAAGCCATATATCGACAAGAACCTCCATGATCAACGGCGAGCGGAAGAAAGAGAAGGGACCACGGGGCCAATATCAGAGGTCTAATTCTCAATGGCAAGGACCAACTCTTGATTTTACCCCTCGTCTCGTAAAATAGCTCTGGTCTACTACGTGTAGGTGCAAGCGAGTGGTCATTGGTTTTGCGTCACCATTTATCACTCGGTCTATACTCCCGGTCTCTGGGGCCAACTACAATGTATAAAAGATTAAAATCCATTGAAAATCTCTAATTATAACAATATAAACCCTAAAGCCCAAAGAAAACCATATCCTACTCCCGCTTCATAAAAAACAAACAAAACAATCAAAAGCACTACAAATACATACTCCAAAACACAACCTCCTCACTCCCGGCCTCTCTCCTCACCATGCACCGGCACCAACTTCACCCCACCAAAGCTCCACCCACCAACCCACTGCCTCTCCTTCTCAAACACCTTATTGATGACGACCCCCACCTCGCCCTCCAGACCCACCCTCATCTCCACATCGCCCCGAATCTCAAACCACCCCTTGCCCTCGCGCGAGCCCCACATATCCTCATCGATTCTCACTCGCACCGCATCCGGGTGCAGAATGACGGACCCGATGTCGGCCGATATGACGGGGTCCACGTAGCGGTGCACAAACGTCTTCGCATCGTACGGCCTGCCCGCCGAGAAGATGAGGTTGACGGGCGGCTCGGCGTCGTGGCCGGCGGCAGCGCTGGTCGAGATGCCCTTGCCGGCCTCGGGCCATGCGTGGTGGAAGTTGCGGACCTGCGGGGAGTCGACGGGGCTCTTTGGGTCCTGCGTGTACAGGCAGATGACGAAGCGGACGCTGTAGCGGCCCTGCGGGACGTTTGTGATGAGCGTGCGGAGGCAGATGCCCTCGGCGCGGACGCAGGTGATGACCTGGGCCTCGCTCCTGTTGCCGTCGCCGTCGAGGTCGATCTCGACGGGGATGGTGGGGCCCTCGACGGACAGGCGCTTCAGCTTCTTTTCCTGCTCGCTGTTGCGGTTGGGGTTCATGCCGAGCGGGTAGCCGGTCTTCAGGTCGAGGTTCTCCATGAGCCAGCAGGGGACACCCGGGTTTGCGGGGTCCCGGGTGTTGAACCCATCGCCCTTGAGGCCGACGGTGAAGCGCCCGGCGGAGCATTCGATCACTTTGGGGCCGGCTGAGAGGCGGGCGAGTGTGTTTGAGAGCTTTCGGCAGCGGATCTTTTGGTCGGGGTCTTCCATGTAGCGGCGGGATGCGCTGGCCATCTCGTCCTCGCGCATCCATTGCTCGAGCGAGATGTCGCCCATGCCGGTGTCGACGTCCCAGCGGTAGTACTCGGTTTCGGTGCCTCTGTACATCCTCTGCACTTCGTTGTCGACTCGGGTGGTGCTGGTGGCCATCTGCAGGATTGCGCCGGCGACTGAGAGATCATCGTGAAGCCCGAACGGGAGCCATCCGTTGTTGTTTTGCACACTCGGGATTGTCTGCAGGCCCGTCCCAATGCTGACAACACAGCCAACTGACCTCCCTTCCCAGATGGACTTGGCCTGGCTATCAATCTCAACACAGGGAGAGTTGTACCCAAGGCCACCGTCGATATACGTGATCTTGGGGCAGCCAAAGGAGATCTCCTCAAAGAAAGTGGGCGCTGCTGAGGTGGCGCGAAGAGCCTGCCAGATCTTTGTTGGATCGTTGGGATCACTGGTAAGGAAGAGCCTGGGAACCCCAACAGCATGTTTATACACTGCGACCACCAAGCCGTGGCAGCCAGTCTCTGCTGTGGGCTCTTCGACAGAAGTAGCGGGAGCGGTTATCTTGGAGACGGTTGGTTCGGGCTGTTGAGGAATTGCGAGGCCAGTGCTCTTACGGCCTTTTAGTAATGACAGAGACCGTCTCGCTCCTCCCGCAGTAGGAGAGGTCGACATTCTGTTTAGACTAAAACGGTTCTTCTTCTTATTTTCTATGATCTCTTGGACTTTACCGCCTTCCATAACCTCCATTTTGGGCATATTCCCCGTCGAAATTCGACGAGAACCGTTGCCGCCATAAGCAAACATTCTTTCCTGCTCCTCCTCCTTCAGCGATAGTGTCTCGTCCCACATCCTCTCCTCGGGATCAAAGCCATATTCCTTCAGAACATCCTTGATGGCCTTCTCCAGCACGTCTCCAGAGAATCTTGTGGGTGCAAATAGTCTCAATTTCATGCCCAGAACGTTCACACATCTATCGTTCTTGAAGACTTTCTCGGCCAGCGAGGTGTAGATCTTGATGCATGTTGGCACATCGAGGCGGAGCCGGGAGAGGAGAATTGCAATTATTCCTCCGGTCGAGGTACCTCCAATGAGGTCGAAATAGTCGCAGGGCTTGAGCGGCGTGTTGTCTTTGGGGGAGCGGAGATTGAGTTTCTTCTCGCTGTTGGAGACCTCAGTCATTATATCTTGGAGAATGAGGAGGGAACTGAGGCCGCGGACCCCGCCACCATCAAGAGAGAGGAGACGGAGTGGGGGCAGATGGGAGCTAGACATTATCTTGCGATTGTCGAAAGGAAATCTAGTAGTAGTGTGAAAGAGATATAAAGGTAAGTTGTTAGAGGTGTTTTCTTTCGAAATAAAGAATGCAGACTAAGGAAAAGCCGAAGCTAACAGTGTTTATATAGAAGTGCGGGAACAGAATAAAGATATAAGAGCCGAGAATTTATGTATGTAAGAAATTAGACGAAAAGATCCTGATCAGCACCGGTCGACGGCAGTGACACTTGAAGCCTGTGAGTATGAGTATGTACAATACGTGAGATGATGCTGCTTACTTACTATACAGCCTACTCAGAAATATCGTGAACCTAGTTAAATGCTCATCAGTACTCTAATTGGAAGTTTATATTCCCTGCACAGCCGTAGATGAAAACCTACTAATGCAATGCTGATTACTTCTTATAGCGATAGGAATGTGGCGCTTATTCTTCTGAGCCAGGATCAGCGTCATCCGCTGCATTCACGGACGAGCAAGGCATCTTTGTCCCATCGTAGCTTTTCAAACGGCGGTTTTCTCATTGGCAGTTTCAAAAGTTCGAAATAATTTGCGATGGAAAGCAAGAAATTTGGCGCTGCGCTCCTGGCTATTGGCTCAACCGTAATTGAGGCGCTAATTATGGCGTGAAGGGCGCATAATTAATTAGTTATTTAGACAGGCATCCGCTTAGGTACTCTACCGTGGTTAAGAACTTACATGTACCTATTATTATGTACTCGGAGTGGCCAAGACATTGGGACGAGTGGGCGGTGGTGGCCCTGCATGCCTTGCTTCGGCTCGCAAGCGATCAAGGCAAGGGAGCTTATGCCGTGCCACTCTTAATCTTGGAGATACGTAGAGAGCCAATTCCGCGGCTATGTAGTACATAAAGGCACTACTCTTAGATAGAGTAGTATAGGAGGCGAGTATGCATATATGTGCGAAGTGAGATTCTATATAATACGGGCTCGGAGACGAGTGTCCTAAATCACTTGATTGCAATTGACTGTTCTTTTTGTGCGGCATCATTAACCCGGGTCGTAAGGTGAAGAATCAAGATCAAGCAGACAAGATCATAAGAAACGACGCTGAGGCCTTGATATACTGGTTTTGAGACGTACAAAAGGTTTCTTTTTTCTATGTTTCGGATCCTGCAGTTATTCACTTGTATTTCTCTGACGTTTGTGGACGCGACAGATATTGCATGCCATACAAAAATACGCCAAGCTCATGATTTTGGGTGTATGCAATAATGGCCCAGTTCAAAAACGTCAGCGAAATACTAGTATGACCGCCTGCAGGCTGCAGCACATATTGAAGGGCAATATGTACTCACTTCTGTGAAGCTAACAGACTTGCTTCTTTCCGGCAACTCCCACGGGAGTGTCCTGGCTTGATCTCAATTCACGGAGGTGACTTTCCTTTCTTTTTGTAAAACATAAGCAAGATACATATTGATAGGCATCTGTGGAATATTTCGCACTTGGAATGTTCAGAGGTGTTGGGGTGGGATGATGTCCCATGACTTTGAGTTCTGAAGTTGCAATTGCCCCATTGATGTCATCGGTTTTCAACTCTTTATCGGCGTCAACGGTATCCCTGTGTGATTCACGAAAGAGAGACAATAACAGATGGGATGGATAGACGCAACTGTGTGTGTCAAGGAGAAGAGGAATGGGAGTAGAGTATGTACGGGACAGGAGTGGGATGTATTTGAATACACATATGTACTCTATCCATCCCGCATACGTCCACCACAACCTTCTATGCACCTGCCTCGTGTCCAATCAAATTCGTCCCAGGATACTCTAACTACACGCACATCTAAAAGCCAAACCCGCCCAAGCTCATGACCATGCCCCCCGCCTCTCCCAGCGCAAAATCACACGACGCCGCAAAGTACCCATCAAGCTCCCTGTTCAGCACCGGTGCCAAGAGCGCCGCAAGCCGGCGGTTGCCTCTCAGGAGCGAATTGAGATCGCCCGGCGAGCAGAGGTGCGAGGCGATGAGGAGTATGACCTCGTTGGGTAGGTTTAGTAGCACTGTCATGATATAAGACGTATGTGTGCGGTTTATATAGAGTATATATGCTGTATATAGGCACGTATAACTCTACGGGCCATATATATGGGCGTGTGTACAGTGCGGGCACTGATCGTGGGGGGATGCGGGGCAATTTATACGATAGGCTGTTACACTTAGGATTGACTCCGTATCGTAAGCCGAGACTTATCGTCTAGGATAAAGCACGGTGCGGGTATTGATAATGGGGGAAATGTCATGAATAATATGATCAGGGTTAGGTTGGGTCATGCGAAGTCACTCGTAGATACTTGGTACAGATACCCATGATTCGTTAAAGAAGCGTAGATGGATACATAGATCCTATGTGTAGTTTTTGAAACTAAGAGTGTTATAGGATGTATGACCTTGCATATCAAGTACACGGATATATATGTGGATGTCTAATTACTACATGTAATCTATAACTACATGTATCTAAACACCATTAACATTACAAAATAATTCGCAACTACATGTAATCGCATGCGCAACAAGTCAAAATCGCATGAGTTAGAAAATTCGTGGGGGTATATTAGGATATTGACAAAAGAAAACTAAATGAACTAGTAGTGCCTTCTGTAAACAGTCCCATTAGACCAAACTTTGGTTATGACATCCTTCCAGAGGTTACTACTATCCCTAAAATAATCTTTACTCATTTGACCCCTAAAGTTCGCGGGAGTGTAGATAAAGTCCAGCGGAGTATCTAAGTCGTCCCTACCGAACGAATTCATAAGATTAACACCGCCCGCACTCCTAAATGGTGGAATATCTAGTGGCCCTGGAAGGAATTCGCTCCACTCAGCGGCTTTTTCGGGGTTATTTGGGAGCGCAAAATCTTGAGCGTATGTCTTGAGAGTTGAAAACGCAGCGTAAAGACTCCTGTATGTAGATTTTCATTATTAGCTTGTACCTTTATTAATAGGAATAGGATACATGCTTACCCTTCGGTTCCACCAAGCATTTGCATTGGGCCTGATTGCGGCCGGCCGCCATAAGCAACGGTGCGAACTCCAACCTGTGTCATTAATTCCACAAAGTACGAGCATGTAGATGCGCAAAGTCCGTCGCCAACCTTGATTCGCAGTAGATTATTAGTCTTCATCATGATGATAAGGAAATGGACAGAGTCTTTACAATAATTATATCATTAGCAGTCCAGGGAGATGTAGAGTTGCTCATCATATCTCCATTAGTCACAGTAAAGTTCATCGCAAAGGCTTCCTTATCTCTTATGTTCCACCTTGAATAGTTCGTAAAAGTATCTCCATAGTTTTCGATAGGTCCGTAAAGCTCCTCCCAGTTTCGATAGGGCGTGCCATTAATATCATCCATGTAGTAGTATGCGAAAGGAATCGCCCGAAAGTCCCGCCTCTCCTCTTCGGTCAATGAAGAATTGTTGATCTGATCGGAAACAACCTCAAGGAAGACCTTTGCAGCAGGATGCGCACGCATGTTTAATGCGATGAAGGGATCCACGTTGGGGAAAAACTGCTTGAACATTTCATATGCCAGGACGATATTGCCACCCCCGTTTCCACTAACATCAAAAATGATGTGAGCAATCCCCTTTTCTCGGAACCTACTAATTATTGTTTTTGCTGAATTCTGGAATACACGGCCTTGAGATTCAAAGCCCGCAAACGTATGGATTGCTATGATGCCGGTTTTATCAATGTTGTAAGCGCTGATACTACCATCTTGCGCGACATATAGAGGGGTCTTGGGATAGCCTTGTATATATTCAGGAGCCGGAGTCGGATCTGAAGTCGGAGACGTTGTTGGGGTTGATACCGAAGCTGGTGTGGATGTCGCTGTTGGCTTTAGACAGTTTTTATACAAATCTTCCCCATTAGTTATTCCGGTGAAGTTGCCGGAGACATAAGCTTGCCACTGGACGGTCTTTTTGGTGCCATTTTCGAAAGTAAGTTTGACGCTGTCTCCTAGATACAGTGGGCTCGCGTAAAATGCTCCAGGGGAAAAGCCATCCTTATTGCGTGCGAAGAGCGAGTTCCATCTTGCATCAGGATCAGAAAAGAGCTGATCGTTCGTTTCGATCCAATCAGACAGATACTGAAGAACGGGTACGCCATCAATCTGAGAAATTGCCGAGATGTTATAAGTATGGCTGATATTGAGATTGAGTTTCTCCTCAATTTCATTATATTCTACCATATTCTTTAGTCAATCATGCATAGGTGGGTGATATAGTCCGAGCATACCATATATTTTAGGGACAACATCTTCCGGGGAGTCGGTCAACGCGACTATATAGAAGTCACGCACGAAATAGAATGTACCCTCCAGGCATTGGCTTTGCCAGTTCAAGTGACCGTCATGCGCCCTGCGTATCAACACCCTGATGGCAGCCTCAAACTCATAGTGGTTTGCATATCCACCGCTTTCAGCAGTCTCGGAGATCTCATCGAGCCCTTTCATAAGATCAACAGGCTCAACCCCGTAAGACGTTTTAGGAGGGTTTGCAAGAAATGCTAGTGTTGACTGGAACTGAAGGTAGTTTTTGAATTGTTTAATGAAGGACACGCCAATTGTGGCGTTAAAAGGCATCGAAATCAGACAATTGTAGGCAACGCTTGCCGGAACATAATCTAATACTCCATGTTAACACAAATGTAGGATTAACCTGATAAGCTATGCTGGAACATACATGAGCTTGCAGACAAATTTGCAACCTCCTGACAAGGAGATGAAGATATTTGCCCTGCTGTAGAGTTTGGGGCTATCGATCCTGGCGTGGACTCCTGTCGTCGAACATGTCTGTAAAGGTGTTCGTTTGGAAAACCAGGGAAAGACTGGGATGATAATGACACAAGGGCCAAAAAGAGAGTAAAAGGAGTGAAACGCATATTGCTGACTTGATTTTCCTCACAGAGGATGAAGGTGCTTGGTGATTATTCGGACTCTCGAGGAAAACAGTGCAGTTAAATAATACTGCGTAAGAAACCGCACGCACCACGGAAAGACATTCCCCAAAAGCTTTACCTCATAATCCCAGCCAAGGTACTCTGTGGTTCGCTCCGGCCAGCTTCTAAGCCGCCCGCCTACCATTAAGATCTACGAGCACAACTTTCTACATGAGCATGGGGCTGAGGGCTAGAGCTGTATGTAGAAACGTAAAAAGCGATTTATAATTGTCGTTGAACCCCTGGAATTCCTCACCACTTAGAGGAGCGAGACGCCCATCTGCGCAGACATTTGCCTGTCTCATCCCCACAGAAGCAACGACAAACGACGGATGTCAGGTACCTTTTCATCGCTAGGCCGAACGAACCTGTTCACACGACCGCCAAATTGCTTGCTTCTGTTGCACTCGTGGCAGATACGAGTCTGAACCTGAGAAGGCCTTCAACTGGCTAGAATATCTGGGTTTATGTTGGCAAATAGTCAACACCTGCGTCGAAGATATTTTCGCGGTTCTTGGGTGCAATTCGTGGGCAAGAATGACTGGCAGCTTGATCTACCTGAACCCACCTAGATGGTAAACGTCCCATCCCTTTCACGCTCGCTAATGGAAGCGGGCCATACTCGTAATTTCATAGCGTTTGTGAACACAACTGGGTTGCATACCGGCCAAATCCTGCATGAGGCTCCAGATTTTGGTATATGCAGACCCAGCTATGTTCACAAACGCTATGAAATTACGAGTACAATATTGGAAATAACGACTGATGTTTGTGCCTGGCGTTGATAGGTTTTATGATCAATCCAAAGTGCACTTAACTGAGAATCACAGATCCAACAACACCTCCAGCCACCACTACCATCCACATGGGCGTTGAAAATACTGTTCTTGCTTCATATATATAATGAAAAATTCTTCTTAGACATTCTGATACAAGTCGTCCGCGACCTGCCAACAAGGCAAGTTTACTTGGCGTCAATTAATTGACCCACGCGCACGATATATGACTTGCTCTATTGTTTTGTGTTCCACAGATTTGACATGGTAAGAGTTTCTATGTACTGGTGCAAACCACATGTACTAATTTACACGCCCAGATGTCTTCCAAGCTCGCTTTAGGACCTTCTTCCGAGCACCGCCCCCCGCAAAATGTAAGGAAGCCTTAAACTGTTGCATGCAGCTTTGGCTTGCTGTCACACTAGCCAAGTTTGGACCCACACCTGTACAGCTGCGCACGTTACTGGACTGATTTGTGAACAACCAACGTACTAAACTGGCCTCGACATGCGCTAGACTGAAGAAATTGAGCTGGAAACTCTTTCAAAGAGCCCCTGAATCGAAACGATGCAGAGTAAGAGCGCCTTCTTTTCCCACAAGTAGGAAGTCTTCCATATCTTTGGGTGTGTATAAGCAAGTTTGAAAACTCACTTTCGGTATTCTATCCGTTATACGAATCACAGAAAGAACGCTTTGTGTTGCCACCAGCCTCGTCATTTTCGCGATCCAGTGCAGGCTCGATATTCGCTCGGGTGATAGCCTGTGAAGTCGTGTACGAACGTTTATCCAGGCCCGGGCATACAAACAATGAGGGTGTCGAGAACTCTATTTAAAGTATGCCATGCCTACCTGGCAGGATAGGGCAGCGGGACATGCAGGGCACCGAACCATGGTAGAGGATCAAAGATTCGACGCTACTAGTTCCCAGCCTCCAGCCTCGATATACTCTACCATTGGAATGATGGAATCTGAAGGTATCAGCTCAGGCGTAGAAGCATGATACGTTGCCGGCGATGGCCTTGACGTCGAAGTAGGCCGGTAATGTCAAGTTTAGCCTAACTGTGGTCGATCGTCGCAGCCACTTCTGTGTTTTACGAGCTACATGCATACTCGTTTGCAAGTAAGTACTGTCTACTTGGCGATTCGCCATCGAAATAATGCACTTGAGGCGACTGATGCAGTCACTAGGATGATCAATCGTTTACAAGTACATAGATAAAGTACACACTCTACTCGTAGTTTCCTGGCGTTTTTGGACTGGGCCACTATTGCACACACCCAAAATCAGGGTCTTGGCGTATTTTTGTATGGTATGCAATATCAGTCGCGTTCAAAAACGTTAGGAAGTTACGAGTAGATAACTTGCTCCAACATTTTAGAGTGCACCAGGACAAGGGATCACGCATTTCCATGCGGGGTCTTTCCCACCCAGGTTAGACTACTACGCTTCAATCAATTGACCCGGTAGAAACACAAGTTCAACTCCAAGCCAGCCCAGGATCCAATTGATTCCCGGACCGGGATGATCCCTGCTTTCCGCTATACAGCTTCTGATTGGGTCCTGCGCCGCATGACGTAGTGCAGTCCACGCATTAACCGCAGCGTGCGCCTTGTGCTGCTGTTTGATCATCGAGGCAATTGAAGGAGAGCTTAGGCCCAGATATTCAAGAGCTGGGCACCACGATACCTACTATATGCAGAGTACCTACAATTACCCTTCATACTTAAACCCTTCAATTGAGTATAAGTTTTTCTAGGCAGGTACCTGGATGGATAGGTAGGCGTGAAATATCTGAGGTTGAGGGCGTGTACCTACATATTCTAGCGGGGTTTGTTGTGGCTATTTATGTGCTTTCGTGTTTTGGGAAGATCTAGATATTCTAGAGAGAGTTAGTAGTATTCTAACTCCCGAGACAGGAGAAAAAATAGCCAGGATGACCTTCGTGGACTGTTGCCCGGGTCTACAGAGATCTAGATTTAGGTTCAATACCCTGAGGCAGTTCGGATGTAGACTCCCTGAGGTGGTACTAGAACTCCCATTACCCTATTAGGTACTCGAAGTACAGTACCTACAGTTCACAGAAGTCAGAGGGTTCATAAGAGATGTCCGGCCACGGTCAATGATCGCATATATTTCTATCCTGGTAGCGTGAGGTGAAATTCCGGGTTTGCTTGTACATACTCACTCGATTAAATGAGAATCCCAACGAAGCAGACTTAAGCTTCTAGATGTATGTACAATGTATCTGCTCTACCTAGATGACATACTCTATTCATGTACTCAAGTACGGTACGGTACAAAATAAAGTAGAACACACATTTTGTCGAAGAAGGCACATGTATATATATTGCGCAACTCAGGCGGAGATGGTGCACCGTGGAGGAGCCGCAAACCCGGTTTTCCTGCAGCAGCAAACGAGATGGTGTGATATTAATAAAGCAGAGACGGTCTTTGCCTAGCTAGTGCCCTCTGTTTTTCACATGCTATATAAGGCACCCCAGCCCTTTCTTAAGGATACAAGTACCTCCTACTTACTACCCCGCCGCCAAGCAATACCACACACCATCATGAGCTATCACTCGTCTCAGCCTCCCCAAGAGAAAGAAAGAAGAGGCTTCGTGCAGTGAATGATGTATTGTACCGTGAACAACACAGCGGCATGTGCGCACACAGACAGTGGTATTCTTTCACATCTTTTTTTATATTTTCCCCGCCATCTCATTTTCGCAAAATCTCCTCCCAAATTAACGAAAGTTCGCGGTGCAGCCTGCCGATGATGATGCAACTGCATAGAACATCAAAACAATGTCCCCCCCACCCCCGGCTGCGGATCATCGAGGATTTGTTTGTGTGCGCATAGCTTGGCATGCACATCATATTCAGGGTTTTGAGGTTGCATCGGTAGTTCTGTTCGTGTTACGTTGAGTTCGCACCCTCCCTCCCTCCCTCCCACTGTTTGGCCTTTACGGTGCTGGCTCAAGAACCAAAGCCCTGGGGGACTTTGGGGCTGTAGTGGTCAATGGCGACTCTGTTACTAGCGATGCTTGAGCAGGATGAACGATACATATAAAAAGTAAATTGCGCGCTCGAGCTGGAAAAACATATATACAAGGCCGAGAGCCAACTTACAGTCTGTGACATGTCGGTTTATCTCTGTCAACAATGATAGCAGATTGGCACACATAGGACCACGTCCACCACCACCACCACCACCAACCACCACATCACATCACCACTGCATCTCAAGAAAACGTCACAAGTACGAAAAAAACAGAGAACCACACCATCACCCATACGCCACCGGATCCAACCATTTTTTTTTTACAGCCCTGCCAATCAAGAACAAAGGGAAAAGCTCGCCCGCAAGCAAAGGAGTGACAATCGAACAGAAGACGACCAAGTAAAAACCATGGCCACTACATGATAACACACGCACAGACTGGAACCGGCCGGTCTACAACCTCCCTTGACCGGTACTTATACGCCCGTGTCCGGCCGTCGTTGTACTGACTATACCTCACGGGGGCATATGCCTCTCTGCTCCGACCGACATGCGAATTCGACGTCCGGCTGCCATAGTACCACGGTAAGCCCTGGTTTAACTCCAGCGTATTCTGGTATACTCACTACTGCGTGTGTGTGTCCCTCCTAGTGCTGCTGCTGTTGTGTGGGACAACATATCGTTGCTCCTGGTATTCAATATGGTCGCGGCTATCACCATACAGACGTGGGTCGGAATGGTAGCGAATGGAGCGTGGCTCAGCGCGGTAACGGACAGGTTCGCTGTGGTAGCGGGTAGTGGCGTACTGCACTGGGCGGCGATTGGGATTGGAATTGTGCGGTATCAGTGCGTAGCTGGGGGTCGATCTTCTGTTCTCCCGGTAACTGCTGTTGTAGGTGTATTGAGGTGAGCCGACATCGCGGGGAACGTGGTACATGTTTGTTTCTAGAGATGGGGTGGCCTAGGTGTAGAGAGCCTGGTCGGTGGTGGTGATTATTGCGATATATCTTTTTATATGTGACGGGTAGCCAGGCTGTAACAGGGTTGAAACTGGGGACTCGGTCTGAGAGGCGTAAAGAGGAAAAGAAAGCTCTTCTCTCTCTAAGATCCCCTAATAGCGGTCCGTCTCTACTTCTTATAGCCCTCCAAAAACGAGGCTCCTCACAAACGACCACATGGAGAGTTTACCATGGCATGCGATACAATTGATTTACACCAACTCACACCAACCCAGAAAAAATATGTCCCGTATTCGGCACATATAGTACTCATGCATCGTCTCGTTGGCAGAAAAATAAATTGTAGGGCGAACCAACGGAAAACCACTGTCGATCTTGCTTGCAGGGACATTCAGGGATACCCGGCTTGAATTTTTTTCAAGGAAAATGAACGATATATCTCACAGTGTGAATCTTAATGGTGAAACCATAATAGCCTGAGAAGGATATGTAGAGTATCGGGGGCGATTCGAAAGCAGTCTCATTATTTATATGGAGGATTCAACATGTGAGCATAAATACACAAAGCTCAATGAGGAATAATACACTTTACCCTACTCCCGAATTATGCTCGTGCAAAAGAACGGCGTACGTACCTGACTCCTCGTGGCAGACTCAAACCAACCACTCGTTCACTCGTGTTCTCTCTTGTGTCGTTCAGATGTCGAATATACATGCAATTCCTGGGAATGTAGTTTGGATGCCAATTGAACACCCACAAGTTGCGACACACGTTTGTCCCCGCGTGCGCTTTATAACCCGAGTGGTAGGTAACAAAGGTTACCGTTGGCCAGTACTGCTCCGATTTCCAGCTTGGGAGTAGGTTATATCCAACCATCATAGAGCCTCGTTTTTTGACCCATGGCGGTCCGAAACGTAACGGAACCAGGATTAGACCAATCATGAGGAACCCTAACCCTATTGTAGCCAAGCTCCTATGTAGTCTTGTATCGTGTGGGAAGCAAGCCAAGGAAGTTAAGTGAACGTCAACTTAGAACGCTTCATGTAAATGACGTCTTACCACAAATTCATAAGTCATCACTCGGTGCGTCGAGTTTTCGATAGATGCAGAACATACCTACCTATCACGACACAAACATCCCACAGTTACCTAAACATATAGAGTAGACTACTTGGTCGGATCGATGAAATAAGTCACACCACGGTATCCTTTTAGTCATCTAGAATAGTAACGAGGGGTATGTAATAGATATCAGATAACACCAATATCAAAAACCCGCCCAAGAATTCGTACGGCTATCCGGTGCGCATCGTGCGAGACCGGGGGAGGGTGGATGTTCTGCGCGATCCGGCCTCAATCCGCAAAGTAATAATTTCGTCTAATCAATCTGGGACCGAGCTGGAGGTGCAGACTTTTACTTTGGATCGTCGAGAGATCCCGCGCAAGTGCCACTATCGTCCGGTCCTTCGTGTGGCTCAGTTCGGCACCCCACACGGAAAGATTTCGTTTAGAGTGTGGTGTGAACAGGGTCGACTTAATCTCCCTAGCTATTCATAGAGTAGTCGCGCATATATCTGCAGACAAATTTCTTTTCCATCGGGCAACGGATATGTTTGGTGAGAGCTTTCTTGGCTGAGAGGATTGTGATGTCAATACCTATATGTACTCTACCCGTCAATACCTATATGTACTCTACCCGTCAATTCCCGGGGGCATGAAATATTTGCAATTGGAAAGATGCAGGGTATGTATCGTCGGAAGGTAGCTTTTTTCTGGCGGATGTAGCGGGGCTAATTAGTCGGGCAGATTATAAAGAGGAGACATGATGTGATGAGTTGACCGAGCTCTGCATCTAATTATACAGTTTTTCTCAGGACAAATTGTCAAGTGTCAAAATCTTTCCGCTCCATACCACGATTTGTTCGTATCAAAGAATGTCGCATAGATATACCGTTCCACAGGCTATGTGGGACGCACGCTCTGTATCCTCTGGACCCCATAGTCAGATCATCTGGCCTCCACAGATCACTAAGTATTTTCAAACTTACCCAGGAGATATGACGACGACGAAAATAATAATAGAAGCTAAACGAACGATATCGGAAAGGATAATCGTAAACGAGATTTACCTTGCTGCTGAGATTCCATGATCTATGACGACAGAAACAATAATAGAAGCTAAATGAGCGATATCGGAAACTATGTGTACTCGGTTATGAGAGAAAGAACCAGAAAATGCAATAGGGTTATATGTATGGCAGAGCGGCGCCACTCCATACAAATAATTCTTGTATCCTCACTTGCATTTTCTGGTTCTTATGCCCACACCCGAGTATAACGATTAACCTTGCTGCTTCTGGGATTCCATAGTCCATATGACAGTGTTTGGTGGCGTTTAGTGAATTCAAATCATTCAGGTTGTAGAGCAGAGCATAGTACGGTACGTATACATGAGTGGCCATGTAGACAAGCAGAGTACTGGACCCTGCAAGTAAGCAAGCGCGGGTCAATACATGTACTTTGTGTCACGGGTCGCAGCAACCCTGGGATCAGTTAGGCTGGCATTCGGTGAAGCTATATCCACGGACACGGCACCAATATGCTACATACCCGGGCCGCCCTCATGCTCATTGTGCTGTCATAACTTGTGGAATATGAGTGCATGTAGGGAGTAGAGCAGGGACTCTAGAGTATGTGCGGTATCAAATTCAAGGTTGCTTTGTGCACATTTGTCCCGGAAATAATAGAGGTGTTGCATAGCCGTGAGGGCACTTCCTGGAGTTGCAGAATAGTTAGCACTCTTTCTTGGCGATAACGTCCAACATCAAGGAACGACGATCTAAGTACCCTCATGTACTCCTAACCTCATGCACTCTCCTTGTCTCTACCTCGAGTAGTACATGGTTTATGTTAGTACAGTAGAGCATCATTAACGAAGATCGCAATAATCCTTAAAAAGCTAGAAATTTAAAGTGCCTCGGAGGATTTTGAGTAAACAATACATGTATATACTTATGCTGTCATGGACAGGAGGACCCTTCACATACCATGTAAAGCACCTATATACCCTTCACCCATTCGTACGGATGTTAATGGCTGTATTTCGATCTGCATACGGCTTTATTCGGGACTGAGGCAAGATCTGTAATAAAATATTATGTAGTTCTTCCATGACGATTCTCGTGTCATCCAGTGATTAGAAACTCCTTTTAACGTAAGACGCGGCCGAGATCCGCGAGCGAAATCGCTTGACAGACACGAACCCGTTACATGCGGTTCTAAAAATAGGAACAAGCTGCTGTGCCATCCCAACTGATGATCCGGCTAAGCCTTTTTGGTTATCCAGTACTATTGATCATGAGTTTGAGGTAATTATCCTGAACGGGATGGATGAGTGAGGAACGTTCGATTGACAACAGCTACGACGACAACAACAACAACAACAACAACAACAACAAAGACGACAAAGATTATCTTTGGGTATTGCGAACAGAGTACTAGTCTATATGGAACTCGGAATAATCAGTTGCTCAAATAGCATGCGCAATCGCGCGCCACTGATGAGACACAGACAGAATTAAGGTACCTACTTTTAGATCTGGTATGGAATATTTAGCAAGATCCCTCACTACATGTAGCTTGATTGTGAGGGTAGAGGTTTAACGTTTCCATTGGAGTCAAGGGACCTTAATTACGGTAATCCTAAATGGTTGTTCCTGGCCTAACGATGAGTAGATGTAGGTATGTCATTTGACTCGATTTGTTTGTGCCTTCTTCTTCTTCTTGTCTTAGTTTTTGCTGTGACCTTCTAGTTCTTGCCATGAGTACATGTATTCTATGTACATGTATGTACACAGGCGCACAAGTTTTCATAAATTGCACCTTTTACAGTCAAAGTACATCTACATTTAGCTGTTAGCTACTCGAGCTAACTAGACGCGCACAGCCATGGCTAAAGAAGCTTCACCACTCGGACTAGAGTGAAACGGCGGAAGTTAAATGTATGTATCTTGGAGAACAGGCGGCTTTTGCGCCGTCAGTTTACGAGGCGCGCGCGTGTTACATTGCCTCTCCTTCTTAATCTTGAGTACAAATCCCTGCATGGCAACGGGCGATGCATACGGCTTGTTTACTTGTGTCCTAGTGCTATCGTTATGTCTGTCACCCCCCAGCCAATATCACCATCCCATCCAACGGGGGGTTTGACCACCAACCACCTCATGGAGACCTCATGGAGACCCTGAACTACTCTACCAGTGTTATTGTTACTGTGGCTATTGCGGATCGGGAAACTGCGGGGTATCTCTTCCGGATTCGATGGGGTGATCTACAAGCGGGTCCTACTCTATGTACTCTAGTCGCACTGTAGCTTGCTGCTGCTGGTACCTACACTTAGCTTCTCCACCGCTATGCCTATGCCCCCATATGACCATGCTGCGAGCGAGCGTCCTTCCTAGAGTAACCGTTCAGCTAGCTCCGGCCACCACAAAATTTCCCCTCCCCCTCCCCCCCCAATAGAGTACCTCTGGATACTTGTGTGGAAAGTACCACCGTTAATTGTTGGTTGGATCAATTAAGATTACAAGAAATCTCACACAGCCTGAGCATGACGCAACGGGCATGTATGTAGGTACATATCACAAAAATAAGCATCGTGATAGGAGTGACATGGTGTGATTACCCAGCAGCCATCAGTGGCTTTTGTGGGGTGTGTATGTCTGGGTGGGTGTGTGGGTGGGTGTGTGACCTTTCCCTTTCTATGTCTAAGGTGCTCTGTGAGATGCTGTTTGGTTTTTCTGGCACTTGCAGATCGAATGTGGTAGCGGATGTGCGAGATTTATCCTAGCCCTGCCGCGGCGCAGGTGGTATTCTTCAGGAGCGGTGGTGGAAGTGTATTTTGTATAAAAGGCACTGGTCCCTTCTCCTTAGACATCCCACCATTGCCCACTTATATCCTCCTAACACAATCACAATCACATACATTCTACATCTCCAACTCATCTCTCGTTCTACCACTACTATATACTCGACTTAATCATGAGGACCTCACTCTTCACCGCCCTTGCTGCAATCCTCTCTGTCGCGGCAGCACTCCCAACCAAAACAACATTGGTGAAGCGGCAGAAGGCGGATAAGTTCTTATTGAAGCCTGCACCAGATGCTCCTGCAGAGCTTCTAAGTCTTGGGATAATCCAGTGGGATGGCGTGGTTGGCAAAGACATCGTGAATTACGTCGGAAAGATGGGATGGTTCCCGGAAAACTCGAGTGCCAAAGACGCTCAAGTCTTCCTCCAGTACAACTCAGATGATGGTATAGCCTTCTATGCTGCTAATACGGCTCTGCAAGTGTAAGTTGGGAAAGAAAGATATGCAGGATCAATCAAGCTTGGTTACTGACGAAATGGCAACAGGTACCTAAAGCCTACTTGGACGCATCCGGCTTACCAAGCGAAGATGGGAAACCCCAATTTCGAACCCAAACCCGAGTGGACTCTACAGAACAACTTCACAATTGATACCGAGACTGTTGGTGACACCTCTATTGAGTATTTCGGATACCTACATCAGTACAAGGACAAATGGCTTGCATGCAATGACAATGGAACTTACACTATTTACTTGTGAGTAGACGGATACCTGGAGGAGCTTTTTCTTAGCATCTCAGAGTTTATGCTGACATATTATATCTTTAGTGGTGGAGAAAACCCGGGCAATTGTGTACTATTTAACATAGAGACGGAGCACTTGGTGTAGACCCAACATCTAGATTAATGGCATGGTGGAATAAGGGGGGAAAGGAACGGAACGAGATGGATTAATTGGGGCATATTGCATGGGGCGGTAACGACTACTTAATGGCTACGATTTCAATATTATTCATGTAATGATTATTTCTACTTTTTGTTTGTGTCTATGATAACTACATGTAGCTATAGCTATAGTCATCACGAAATGCACCTGTTCACACCGTGTCACTCGATAACTGTATATCAGCGTCAAGATCACCTATATGTGTTATAATTCAGCCTCGAATGTGTCCAAATAAAAATTGTGAGCAATATGGATAATATTAATGTAATCATGCCTGTGAACCATCCACCCCTCCACATGCAGGACGCCTTAGTGCATGGCTAACCCGCATTTGTAGGTATTTACATGTATGTATGTACTTAACTCCATGGTCTCGTGCCCGCCCCCTCCTCTGTAGAGTAAGTACATGTTGTGCTGTATATACCTACTCTACAGTGTACTCTATGTATGCGCAGAGACCAGCCGCTTCAACCACCTTGCTTCCATCGGTCATCAATCTACCGGTTTCCCCTCCTCCCCTCTTTGATCACTCTTGTCAGCACATCCATTGCCACTTATTTGATTGACGAGAATAACAACTGCCTCTCTAGGCTACTCTATACGTTATATCATGTCCTCGGAGCTAGAGAGGATGAGAAGAAACATAAAGTCAATTGCAAAAGATCCCCAGAGGACTGTGGGAGCCCACGAAACTCAAGAACCAATGGGACAAGGCGTAAGAATGCCTCATCATCACATTTCAGTTCTGGTCTCATCAGTCTCTAGAGAAAGAAAAATCAACACTAACTGTTCCCCCCGTTCAAAGCACCCATCACCTCCGACTGTCTCTGCCGATCAGAATCCTAAGGTTCTCGACGATATTACCCGTTCCAGTTTGTCAACAAACCTGTCAAGCGGAAGTAGTAATGATCAGACACTTGAAACCAAGGGTAACGAATCTCCGAGCTCCGGACAGGGTGCGTGCCTTGGCACGGATGCACTTGGCAAGAGCACTGATGATGGCGGGATCGGTGCAAGCAAGTCTTCCTGCTCCTCTGCACGCCCTGAACTGCCTGGGGCAGCGGTCGGAGCTTTTCGTCCGGATCGGCTGAGACGGGTTGCGACTGGGCACACGCAGGAGGTAAACCAATTCCTGCCTGACCGTTGTGTCTGTTTCATGATGTGACTGATGTGCTCATTATTTTTCCATTCTTAAGAGCGCCTGGGCCCAGTTAGCTTCGGACGAGAGGCTCAAAATCGACCGTAGGACCATTTCTGACGACGAACCTAAATATGGGTTGTTTGGGACTTCTAAAAGTTCTCTTCCTGATAGATTAGGTTGTCTTACCAAACCTGAGATCTTGATTCACAGTAAAGATGGCATGGAAGCTAGTAGTGCGACAAAAAACGCTTGCGGAGACCAATTGGACACCATATCTTTCAAAACACCCATAACAAAGCCAATGTATACTCAATCTTTTGGATTCTCGTTTAGTCCAAAGTTTGAGGAAAGGCCTATCCCGGGAGTAATATCGCAGGTACCAAGTCCGTTTGAAAATATTGAAAAGCAGGGCCGATTTTCTCTACTGAAGTCGCCAAGGCCCATAGAAGGATCAAAACACCATAGTCGGGGATGCACGATGGGGTTAGTGCAGAACTTTGGACCCTTCCCTGCCGCTATGAAGACCAGCAAGGAGACTGGAGACCAGCCGCCAATATTGGCGACCCCTCCAGTCGCATCATTTCTATCTGAGGGATGTGGTTCTACCGAGTTTAAATATGGCGAGAATATGGAATCCATATTTACTGAATCCGATATTTACATAGCAGAGAGCGGAGGGAATAAGGATTGCTCCGGACAAGAATTTACTACTGGGTTTAAGTCTAAGCTTATATCGTTCCCTGGTAGAGAAGGGTTCTAGAGTTCCATCCGGATATAAGTCCGAATTTAGGTAGACTCAGACACTTTGACGGCACTGGGAGAGAAAATCATACGTGTTTAATAATCGGGAAAAGGAAGCGTGAACTAGAGGGAGCGATAATGCGGGTATCGCGATAATCGGCATTTAATAAGGTAGAGGCATTTTCTGTCGTAGTGGGGCATAGGGGGGACACTTTTGTGAAGGTGGATAGATTAGTATCGATAAGGGGACTGATGTTGAGATGGATTACTATTCTTAACTAACTAGATGGGAGTCATCCAAACGGATTAAGGGGTAATCAAGGAAACCTAACTAATAATTAAATTATATGGTCATGGCGCAGCAACTCCAACCTGCCTTGAATTCTTGAATTATAAAAAGTGTCTTCGCCATTCTTAAGTTCACCTTCAAATAGACAGATAAGAAAACAGATAACATGTATTAGGAAGAAGAGTTATTTAATACTGACAGAAAAACAAGTATCAAAGGGTGCGAACAAAGGTTTTTATTTAGTATACTGCTGATATATCCATATTCCTGGATGGATTAGAGCGTATTGTTTTCTTTCACAATTTGTCACTCGGTTTATATTTCATGACTCCAACTCAGGCTATTGAGTATGTAAATGATTCGATTGATAAGAGTATATCCAAGCCATAAGACTTACTATTTAATGAATATCATAAATAAACTACAAAAGAAAACTGTCGTCGGGAAACTTCAACCATTCATCAAAGCTATGATGTTCAATTCCAGTCATTCTCTCCGTTCTTACTCCCAATCACGATATTACTTTTGCCCCCGTCTCTTTCCTCAACTTCTGCCCTCCTCCGGTATCCTCTCCTGCAACGCGGCGTATAAGCCTCGTATCTAATCGGGCCACCGCTTCCGTCCCCGTCTAACCTCGACTCAGCCAATACCCTCCCATCCGGACCTTGCCCACCTGCACCCCAAGTACCTGTGTAGTACGCCAGGAATCTCAACTCCTTCACATTCCCGAGCCCCATCTGCACCAGATTCTTGGCCACAGTGGTGTAGAAAGTACCATATGGCTTATTAATAATGAAGCTCTGCGGGGCAAGAACAGTCCCATCGGCACGGGTTCCAGTGATCTCGATAGTGACGGATGGATATTGAGGGAGGAAGTAGCCGGTGGTGAAGGTCACGTCAAAGAGTGTGAAGGCCGTTGACGGGGCGAGTGCAGAGATGGTGTAGTAAGGTGAGGAAGGACTCGGGGAGAGGAGAAGGTTTGTGGAGGAGGAGAGACCGCAGCTTCCTTTGTTGCAGCAGGAGGGGTCGCAGCCGGTGGTGTCGCCGGTGCAGCTGCTGCTGGTGTAGACGGAGCAGGCGATGAAAACCCAGTTTCTGGAAAAGGTGTTAGTGAGTACATGTATATGATATGAGACTGAGACAATGGGGTGGGATTGCATACACGCTCCAGGAGAGAGAGTTTCCTTCTCCAGGACCAGCGCTAGGCCATTGAGGGTACTACCATGACTTATTAGTATCAATCATTCCAAATCTACTATAAATCACTTTAAAAGAGTACTGACTGATATAGTTCCCGGTGCTGTTTCAGTAGCAGTAGGGACACACCTGGTTGGAGTAGGAGTAGGCCTGGTTCTTGTTGTCCTACTATAGTTATCAAGACGTACCCCACAGTCAGCAAACTGCCTTTTCAATAATGCAGTTGAGATAGATGAGTACGTACTCAGGACTTGCGTTCACAAGGTTGAGAAGGAACGTTAAAAACGTTAGGACTAGAGGGGTTGAAATCATTGCAATGTTAAAGCGATAGACTGTTTGAAAAGCGAGTGAATGTTTGGTGATTGACTTGATGAATTCCTGAGAATAGGCCCGGGGTTTTATAGAGTTCCCCCCCCGCGGGCCCTCCTCCTCGTTCGGAGACATGCAGCGTGATATTTCGCCATTCCAATTACGTGATAAATTGGGACGTGATTTCATTGTGTTCCCATCACTTTTCAATTGATAGGTTTGTGGTTTGCATCCGATCCAGATCGTGAGTACTCCTATAATTAGTTTCGTCTGTCACCGTGTACGTCTACTAGGTTGTAACCCCGCATCAGAGAAATTAATACTAACACTCAGGTACACAAACACAAGGGCCAGTAATAAACCCGTGGAGCACATGCATGTACATACTGTCTACATGTATGTACTCATTATACGTAGTGCTAATGAAAATTAAAGAATACTAGTCTCTTGTATTTTTAATACATGAAATGATAACATGGTTCTCTAGGGTGAATAACTTCTTTATCTCTGATCTAAATTCATCTGCAATTGTATCAGCTGCGAATATTGAGGTTTGTAAAGATGATTTAGAGTTGATAGGCCATGTGATAGCCCTATCCTTATCAAAGAAGCTTGTGTTACCATGTGATGTCATGTGTTCTTATTCCTCTGCCGAAGTGCACAAACACGCCAATTGAGACTCGCTAAAAAGTATTTCTTCCACGATTGCAGGTTCAAGCTTTTTTTTTGCCGGAAATAGTAACATCTCACGGGATTTTGTCTGTTCGGAATTCTCCGATTGGGCGGGAGCGCTGGCCAAGAGCCCTTAGTAGCGGTTATTATTAGTATGGATTGTCACTGGTTCTGAGAATCTGAGAAGCGATTTCTGTGTTACTCCGCTTTGCCAAAAGGATACATACATATTGTTTGCATATGTGGTCCTATTAGGCGAAACTTCTCGCGATGTGTAACCTGTAGTCCTTGAGTTCTGGCACAGAGAAGCTCGTGAATTACCTATTCAATCGGGCCCATGCACTTGGATCTTTTATCCTCAGAGGGTAGAAATTTCCTATTGGTCAATTAGGGTCAGTGAATAAGTCGGTATTTTTGGATACCTGTGTTTGAGGCAAATACATACATACGAACCGGATCCCGTGAAGCTTTCCCGGTTACACATATGCACGCCTAGACCTCTAATGAAGAATAACATAATATAGGGTCACATCGTATGATCCGAGAGATATTGGTTTCTCGTATAAATGTCTTGGTTCTCTCCACCAGCCCAGGGACTGAGGCTATTTTCAGTATTTGCTGTTTTCTTCCGGCAATGGTGTTGGAATTGAATGGATACAAACCTGGATATTCCCTTTGGCATACTTGTATGGATTGAAACTTCAGAGTTCAGCAAGGTTTTATAGTGAAGAGAACGATACGAAAGATGAAGAGTCGATTGTACGTGGCATTGCTTTCGGAGCCCCGCAAATCGAAAGACGGCTTTATTGAACTTAGCGAGTGATACATTATGATCGATCTCACCCGGAATCATGGCTTATATATATCGTGCACCATCTAGTCAATCATCAAATCAGTTTAATTTCATCTCTGCTCCCTATATTACTTTCTATTATTTATTTATACTAATCACTGAAATAGAATCTCGCCGTGGGGGGTAAGAGTGCTTTAATTGCGATCTCTATCAATCCAGTTTTCGAAACTTCACTATCATCTTGATTCAAGGCCTAGAATTTTGTGTAGATGGATAATTAACAGCAAATTCAATTACTAACATGGAATACGTACATCTAGCACATTAACACCATCCAATAGATATTCCATAGTACACTCGAGAGAACGGCAGTTATAGATGGTGATACTCGGAATCAATATCTAGCAGTAAGCTCTTGGCTGTAATCCAAATCCTTTAAATCGAGTTTTCTATTTCTAGGAGGTCGCCGAGGTTAGGTATTAGCCTACAGTTATTTTTATACAGCCTACCAGCAATTGCTAATGACAACGCCAATTATTTCCATATCGTCTGGAGGATTTTACCTAGAATTCGGTTACTAAAATCTCTAAGGTAATCATCGTGCTAGAAGGTGATGTTCATCAGGTATCGGTACAAATGTCGAAAGTCCGGATCCCTTTGCTGCCTCTAGTAATATAGATAAGAAATGGTAAGTGAGAGTCTTGTTCGTCACAAGATTTGGCCTAGAGATCTAGATTTTATTAGATTGAGCAGAGAATCGATGATGTAAGAATCCTACAGCTTTGTATTGGGCCCAGGACATAGTTGACACGTCCACGTAATATTTGGGCAGCTTCCATACAGGATATTTTAAATGTTTCTCGTACTTTCCGGTATCTCTCCAATCGTCTCTTACTTGAAAGGTACGGTACTTTCTCTTATGCTTAGTTATAAGGGTGTAGTGTATGCTTTTATGATAGGAAGTAATTTATGAGTTGTAAATAGAGTGAGATTTTTGGAGAAAGAAAGCAACTTAGGCTGTTAGGACTTATTCTCTATACGGGAAATCTGTCTACATATATGCGTACACGTATGCACTCTCAGCTCGTGGGTGTGATCTATCTAGATCTATAGATCAGCTCGGGTACCAACTCCAAATAAAATGTGTTGGCCACTCGTACTCAATTTCCAGGCTCCAGTCTGGATTTCAGTAAATTTCCTTGATTTTACCCCAGGAACATGTAGGGTGGGTGTGTGGCCAACCACACACGTTAGCTCATGAGTGATCCTTCATGAACCGGTCAAAATGTTTGTCATAAAGGGCAAGGGCATTAACGACATAGAACCCTGGCCCTAACACCAGGGTGCAGTTTGAGCCGCACTATAACCCCACCTCTGCCAAGCCAACCCCTCCTCCAACATTCGACTGGAAACTCATCACGATATCTGATAAGCAATTAAGCCCTCTCAACCTACCACCAACTCTTTGTAACAATGTCAACCACCGAAGGCGTGAGTGCGGCTGCTCTAGAAGCTGCGATTATAGAGAAATTGAAGGCAACGCATGTAGAGCTGAAGGACACATCAGGTAGGCATCCGGCGAATTATTCCTGGTGATGGTGTGTTATGAAGAGCGCTGCGCTGACGAAAAGAGAAGGTGGATGCGGACAAATGTTTGAAGCGGTGATCGTGTAATTACTCACCACCACCACTCTCTTGGGATGAATTTTTCTTGGGTTAATCCGTTAACTCATGATGAACAAATGGAAAAAAAAATAGGTCGCAAGAGTTTGTGAAGAAGACATCGCTCATGAGACATAGACTGGTCAACAGCGCGTTGAAGGACGAGATTTCGAGGGTGCATGCGTGGACACAAAAGTGCTTTACAGAAGAGGAGTGGGAAAAGAAGAAGTCAAGTGAAGCATCTGGCGCTTGAACACTTACTAGTTAGTTCATATGTCAAATGAGGAGTTGTAAGTCTTTTTGTGTTAAAACTATCATTGACACATGAAGTCATTTTTCTCTCAATCGATGAGTGGTTCGTTTTAAAGGATGGATTGATACCTCGATGCGGGCTTGAGAATTTGTTTTCGATTGATACCTTTTTTTGGCCTCTCTGTCCTATCGATGGACACCGCTTTATAAAGACACCTATTTTGGCGAAGGTTTAAAGAAGATACCATGTACTTAGCTGAACATCTACCAAAGCTTTTTACGTAGATCTGTCCCCCTTAACTTCTAACCTGTCATCATCGTCCAGCATGCAGAATTGAGGGCTAACTGATCCTCATAATGATTTTATCCTACCTTCTAGCCCTAGTTTTCCGCTGTATACATACGCATTTACTACCGCCCGCCTTTGTAGATCCAAGATGCAGTCTCAGCTGAGTCGTCCTGATAGTTTCAGTAGCTAGTCACGGTACCTGCTATCAGTAATCTAGACTTACTCTGGGTGCCGGTCCATCAGTTGGTATTGTGACCGAACTATAAAATTAAGATATACCCAGTTCCGGGCAAAGGTTGACATGGAGATATGAATGGCGATACCCATGGAGAGCAGGCATTGATGCGTGGCTTTGGGGAGATCTGCCGCGCCAATTCAGCGCCGGAAAGTAGAGTTGGCACGTAAGCTAATAGCTGAATTAACTATGCCATCCACGAACCCGTACGCGTAGAGTTAATAGATGTGTACGTATGCAGTGGGGGAAGCGGATTGGATGTGATCTACGCCACGCGTATACGGACAAATTGATAAAGGGGACTATAATTTAGTAAGATACATGTGTGTATTTATATCGGCAAATTTCTTGTGCATATACTCCAAGGTGAAGTAAGCTAACATAACATTGATCGATTGCTTCCCTGATATATAGCTTTCGAAACTGCCTCAGCTATAAGGGGGGTCTGTTGCTAAACAGGTGTAACCATATTCTCCATGTTTTTCTCCCTTTCCATAGTTGGCCGAAAAGTTCAAAACTTAGTGGTGTGCGGTAATCGACTTCTATGAGGCTGGGGGGGGGGGGGGGGGGTCTAACGTCAGCTATATATATTACGAGTAGACCGCTGGCCATGCCATTGAGCCCATATCGACTTCGTGCTGTATATGGGCATAGGGATTGCCCCCGTTATGTATCAGTTCTACGCACTGCAAGCTTTCGATAACGATCCTATCATTGATCGAGATGATAGCTAGCTACTTCTTGCAATTGTCAAGAGAGAGCCAACGAGTGGCTTTAAACCAAGATAATTTGTAACGCGGGTGAAAGCCTTAGAGAAATAAAGGCTAAGTACATGTAGCTAGGGTGGATCCTCAAGCTGACCTATTTCTGTAACTACACAACATATTCATTCCTGCCCGAAGCTAGAGTAAGAAGAGTACTAAGCCTACAACTACCCCATACGATTGAAATACACAAGAATCCGAAACTTCCTCTAATCCAACTAATTGCATTACAAAACCATAAGTCAATATCATTACAAGCCTCATAAGTTCATATTCCACTCCTCTATCCTCACAAAAAAAAAAAAAACAATACATTAAAATCCCCACCCACCCACCCATTAACCACCACCACCACCACAACCACAACCAGCACCCGCCTACAGCGCCCTCTGATACCCAAAATTCAGCCTCTCCATCCCAAACGACAGCCCACTAATCACCTCCGAGCACGTCTTCATCATATACTCGGGCACCTTCCTCCCATTACAATCCCTCGCCTCGCGGTCCGCCCCCGCGTCCAGCAGCACCTTCATCGCCTTCTTACCATCATACACCGCACACATGTGCAGCGCCGTCTGTCCCAGCCTATCCCGCCTATTAATGTCCGCGCCCCGCTTCAGCACCACCGACAGCAGCGAACTCATGTCCTTCATCGCCGCGAGGTGCAACACCGTCCTCCCGTCCGCATCCTGCGCATTCACGTCTGCCCCGCCCGCCAGCAGCGCGCCCACCAACCGCTGACTCCACGGCTGCACGGCGATGTGGAGCGCCGTCGTCTGGTGGAGATCTGCGATGTTCGGGTCGGCGCCCTTCTCGAGCAGCAGCTTGACGAGCACCTCGCAGCCGTACTGTGCGCAGATTGCGAGCGCGGTGCGGCCGGTGGCGTCCTGCGCGTTGATGTTGACGCCCTTCTCGATGAGGTGCTTGACGAGGGCGATGTCCTCGCTGTCGAGGATTGATGGCGGCGGGGGCTGGTGGAAGTTCTTGGGCTCGATGGCGAGGTGAAGGAGCGTGCGGCGCTGCTTGGTGAGATAGTCAGTGCGCGAGTGGCGGAGGAGCAGGCGGTAGACGGGGTTGAAGGAGCGGCGGTGGGCGAGGAAGATGGGGGATTGGTGGTGCTTATTGCGGATGGTGGGGTCGGCGCCGTGCTCGAGGAGGAGGCGGACGAGTTTTGCGTTCTTGTGCGGGACGGCGAGATGGAGGGGGGTGTTCTTGTGGTCGTCCATGAGGGCCGGGTCGGCGCCCTTGGTGAGGAGGTGCTGGGCGAGGACTTCGTCGTCGAGTTCGGCGGCGATGTGGAGGGAGGTTTTGCCGTACTGGTGCCGGAACTGCACGGGGATGACTTCGAGCATGGCTTTGACGACGTCCCATTTCCGGAGCTGGACGGCGCTCTCGAGCGGTGTCATGACGTTGGGGGTGTCGTGGGAGACGTACATGGGGTCCGCGCCGTGCTTGATGAGGAGCCGGGCGGCCTCGCCGTTCTTGACCATGTGCAGCGGCGTCCGACCAGTTGTGTCCAAGATCATTGGGTCCGCACCGGACTCTAGAAATATCTTGAGCAGCGAGATGCTCCCCTTGCGGCATACCCAATGCAGGCCCGAGAGGTCACGGCGGCAATTGCTAACAACGATACTTGCGCCGTCCGGTATCAAGGCCTGCAGGCCTGAGAAATCGCGGCGGCAATTGCTGACGATGATGTTTGCGCCCTCCGCTATCACGGTCTGCAGCACCTCGTCGTTGCACTCGCCCGGGCACTTGTGGAGCACCCGTCCGGTGCGGGTCTTGACCACCATCTGCTCGTGGCCATGGGCGAGGATTGTGCGGATGAGGCGCTCGTTGCCCGTCGCGGCGGCGCAGAAGAACGCGCTGTCGCAGAATTGGGCGAGGGTTGCATGGCGGTAGAGCTCGGGCTTGAGGAGTTCGAAGAGATGGCGGTTGGCGCGGAGCAGGTAGGAGAGATGTTTGGGATTGAGGCTGTGGGCTGTGAGGATGATGAGTTCGTTGGGGAGAGCTAGGTAGGAGGAAGACATGACGACGTCCTATTTCTTTTTTATTGCTTTTCTTTCTGTTTCTCTCTCTCTAGAGCTTTGAGATTAGCTTTACTGGCGAATTGAAGCTTATCGGGGGAGGGATTATAAATTTTCACACCTATCTGGAGCTCTACTAAGCTTTAAGGAAGCTTCCAAGGGGTAGGATTTCAGTAGCTGAGTGTAAGGGTCTTTTGCAATGTGCATGCAGTAAGGGGAGAGGAAAGAGTAAGAGAGAGAGAGAGAGAGAGAGAGACAGGCAGACAGACAGAAAGAAAGAAAGAAAGAGAGACAGAGAGAGAGAGACAGACAGCTCTGTGGTGGTTGGTGCATTCACCTACGTGTCTGAACACCTTATTGGGAGCCGCTGACTGGCCGACCGAGCGAGCGAGGGAGCGAGGGAGCGAGAGAGCATGAGTGAGCGAGAGTGAGCGAGTGTGAGCGCAAGAGAAAGAGAAAGAGCTGCCCTTCTCTCCGCCGAGACTAGTGCGACTGTGCGAGGGTGCAGGTCTGTCTGCCTGCCTGGCTCTCTCTCTCTGGCTCCCTCTGGCTCTCCCTGGCTCTCCCTGGCTCTCCCTGGCTCGCAGACAGACAGACAGACCTCTGCTGGCAATACCTACATACATACATAATCACATACTCTGCTGTACGAACAGCCCGTATCAGCTAGCAGCGATAAGTCATCAGAAAAGAAAGAAGAGCATGGTCGTGACCAGATCGGGCAGATGCTCAGTGATTGATTGGCTCACACAGCCTGAGCCGGTGCCAAGAGATCTTGGATGGTTCGGACCATGGACATTGACATTGTCATTCGGGCTTGCCTGGGGCACCGAGTCGAGTGACCATTTATGCACCGGGGGTGATGCTCTATTGAATACGACCCCACACGTGATCTCAACACTTCCCGGCACCGCGAGACAGACACATGCTGGTCCGATTGACGATTCATCAAAAAAAGGGGGGGGGCTCGCCCGCTTGAGATGCGCATCCATCGCATTCCGATGCGCGAGTTGTGAGGTTTAAGGGGGTGTTGTGTTGACTCCCCTTCCTGCTCGCCGGTAAAGAAGCTGCTGCAGTGCTACGGATTGGGAACGGGCCTTGGCGTGGGAGCGCGTGCCAAGGCTGGAGTTACTTTTCCAGGGATTGGAGGATGGAAGCTGGGTTGCAGGGATGGGGATTGCGGGATGGGGTGGGACATGGGATGTAACGTGGGGGAGTTAACGTTGCAGCATAGAGTGACTGTGACTGCGGTGTAACTATATGTATGTATGTCTTGATGTCGCTATTCGCAGATTTAGGTACACAGGTACCGGTGCAACTTTATCTGGAGCGTTGAGTACATGTAGGTACTACGAGCACAGCAAGACAACATCGACTGGGGGGTTATCCAATAACGTATGGCGAGTGAACACTGCTGGATCATGATTACATGTATTTATTGATTTTTTTTCTTTTTGATACTTTCTGCTCTGCGTTTGCTTTGATATTGCACTCAGACTACCAGTGTTTGTGAGCTATTTCTCTTTAACATTTAGGAATTGAGGAATTACATCCTCAGAGGATTGTTAGTTTGTTATATCCATAAACAACATCACAACCCATCACTCACTCACTCACTCTCTCACTCACACTACCTTCAACACACAACTCAATTGACTCACTAATTGATAATTCATTAATTGTCCAACACCCAACTCACAACCAAACAACCCCCCTCTGGCGATTATCCGGGCAGCGCAGCATTGCAATATCATACACTAAAAAAACCAAAAAAAAAAAAAAACCTACGACGACTTCTTCCTCTTCCCCGTCTCACACTTGACCGCGCCCCTCTCCTTCATCCCCTGGCACCCCACCATCATGCCCGCCATACCCTCCATCTTCCCCTCCGCCTGCAGCATGCCCGGCCCCCTCTTATCCAGCCCCAGCTTCGCATCGCCCTCCGTCTTCGCCGCCCTCATCTCCTCAATCGCATGCGCCTGATCCGCCCTCCCGCTGTTCGTCCAGCTCTCCGACCCCGACATGCGGCCGACCATTTCCTATATATATACACTCCGTCAGGCCCCATCCATACTTTATAAGGAGGGAGTAGGAGTAATTCTCACGTTGACAGCCCCCTTAATCCACACCACATGCCCCTTCACCTGCGACGGCGGCGGCGACGACGACGACGACGGCGCTCCAGTGCTCGACATGGCGCGCTTGTGCTTGACGCTTTCGGCAAAGGTCTTTGTAGCGCGGTCGGACGGGATGTGGCGGTACTGGTATGCGGCCGGATTGCGTCGAATGGCCCCGGTGAGAACGGATCGGTGGACTTTCATAAAGCTGTTGCAGAAAGTTCCTTTTGGCTTTTTGGGAAACGAGCTCTCTCTGTTTCTGTTGTCGCGCTGTTTCTTGCTATGGTAGTAGTGAGGTCTTTTTGAAAAGGGAGGGGAAAAAAAGAGAAGTGGAAATGGGTGGTGAGAGGGCTGGGGAAATGGTTATATGGTGTTCTCTCCCCCCACCCCCCCCCCTTTTTTTTTCTCTCTCTCTTCTCCTCATCCCTCTCTGGTGGAGTTGAGCATTCGGTGTGCCCTCATCTCTGCGGCTGGGTGACGTCGATTAAACAGCTCAGACTCGCCGACGGATGAGCGCAAGTAAAAAGTTCCCCGGAATCTCATGCTTCCTCGCGAATCTCGATCTACCAGTCTCACCAGTGTGGGGAGGACGGGTGTGCGGTTGTGGTTGTGGAGTCTGGGCCGAACATGCGCTACAAGTATTTACGTCATGTCGTCACTCTCCGCGCTTGTTAGGCGGTTGAGAGAGACGATCCGAGTCGTGATGGCAACTTTCTCCAAATTTCAGAGATGTATCTATGCGACATTATCTACACTCTCAAATCTTGGACGAAGTTTTTGGTCGAGTTACTCTATGGGGTGAGTATCCCTGGACGCACGCACATTTCTACACTGTGGTAAAGTACAAAAAAGATCAATGTTTATGATCGGATCATTGTATTAAGAAGAGTTCCTTGTCTCAAGAAATCATTATCATAATATCTTCTAAAAGAACAATCTTCCAGAGGGCGCACCGATAGCAAGTCAATCTTCAAACTTCAAGAAAAATCAAAGCTAGATACCATTGCCTTATAGAACCGAATCAACGCCAATTTCAATTGCCAGTGCCCGCCTCAAGATCGTTATTGGTGGTCCCAGTATCCTCCTCTTTTGGCATATGCTTTTATTCAAAAGCCTCTTTTCAGAGTTTGGCAGTGCCCAGCTCTTCTGAATTCATTCTGCCCATCTTATCACCATCTTTATTATTCTCCGTGTCCTTGATACGGATAACAGCCTCGTCAGGTTTACCTCCTGTCTGACTCTTATTACTTGCAAGTTCAACATTGTTTCCGTCCGCCAGATCTCCCGCTTGATGATCACCCTCTTCTCTCCCTATGCCGAGCTCTTTCTCAGGCTTAGCTACTGTTTGTTCAAGCGGCCCCAAACTATCACCGCCCTCTTCTGGGTTTTTACCATCTCCACTTTCGTCGCTATTGGCTTTGAGATCTGCCTTCTTATCATTAGTTCTGGTACTTGTTTGGTCCTCGAAATCGTAGATGTGTTCTTTTGCACTTTCATCAATTTCAGATCCTTGTATAATTGATTCGATCATAGGTGCGAGTATTTCTTCCATATCATCGGTTATCTCGTCTTCATTATCACTGCTAGTAACTTCAACGTCATAATAAACACTTGCGGAATGTTTATCTTCACCAGCTTGATCAACCCCTGCTTCAGAATCGGATCTGATGCCAATCTCACTTCTCTTTTCCATTTTGATGCCAAATTGATCAATCCATTTTGCGGTAAATGAGCCACCATCAGCCTTCGCCTTTTCCAATTGATTTGTGACTTCAATTTGCAGTTTTTCAAGTTCATCTTGAGTTGACCCTACGAATAGAGAAGATTCAATTGAAAGTGAGAAGGAGTCGTTACTATCAGCCTCAAGTAGACCCAGGGTTTTTTCATCTTTGTCTATTATTGATATGTTTGTTGAGTCAGCAGTAATTGATGGTAGATGGCTGACCTCTCCGGGTGTAATTTCTTCGGGAGTACTGCCGCAATCAATGTTGAACAAAGAATCTGCCGCTGACGATACGTCGCTGTAATCACAATAAAACGGAGTGTTTTTGTTTGCGGTCGGGTTCGACGTCTTTTTATGAGTGTGGCTCAGCTCTGGTTTATCAGTTTCTCCTGAAAGATAAGACTCTTTCACGGCTTCATCTTTCACAACAGAATAGTATTTTTCTGATTCGCAGGGTTTGAATATAAATTCCTCTCCCTTGATATATGATTCGTTAAGACCAGCATCCATACCTGTTGTCTTTAGGGTGATGTCGTTGGCCGATCTGGTACATGTGTCTTCGGCTTGCATGCACTCGATCGACTTCTTGATATCGGTATCTACAGAGGCTTCTGCTTGGTTGAAATGATTGGACTTATAGAAATCTGTTTTTTCAATAACCTCTGCAAAGGGCATTCGAAAATTCTGTCTATTTTTCTCAGGGTATCCGATATCCTCATTCTGGGTAGTTTTCGCGGTAACAGCCCCGGATTCCTGTAAATTGTCGTTTTTAGTAAAAGTTCCATCATTTTCTCGTTGAATCATCTCTTGCATCTCTAGCTCGATTTGAGTGTCAGCGTGTAGAGCAGCTCCTTCAGTCTTTCTAGGGACAACTTCGGCGTGCCCATCGTCCTCCGCCTGAGACTCGTTCCAAGTGGCGTCAAGTGGTTTTAAGTTTACCTTGACGCTCTTGATGGCTTCTGAAAGCTTCTTCTCGAATGTGCTAATTGCAGATGCAACAGGTGTAATCTTGTCGACTTTGGCATCAGGTATTTGTTCGGTCATGGAAAAGTCTAGATCTGTGTCGTCGACTAGACCCAGAATTCTTAAACCTTCTTGTCCTAGACCGCCTGTGTCCTCATTAGTTGGGTCATAAGTTGTCCATTGTCCCCGTGTTGAGGAAGTAGAAGATATTTTTTTCTTAGACTCCTCCACAAGGGTAGAGTAAGACTGACAAATTCAAGAGTTAGTTTGAGTTTATTTATATAAGAAAGTTTTGGGTGACTTGATTCAGGTAATGAAACTACCATGAGCGCGGTATCAATAACCTTGAAGATAGGAACGAAGTAGACAAACCTTAAAAGCTTCCTTGGTTGTAAGCTCTTCTTGCGGGGAAGATTTACGATTAGGTGATGGTTGGAGGGTTGGAGGTGAACCATTAAATACAGCTAAATGCGTAGAGTTGGCGGCTTCACTCTTCAACATTCGGGCTGCGGAAACTATTGCTGAATAAAACTCTGCAAGTTGATTCCAATGATCCTCCAAAATGGGGCTAAAATCAGTGATTATTCCAGTCCCAGACTTATCCAATTTTTGCAGGCTATCAATAAATCCATTCCCCATTTCTTCAAAGGCCTTACGCTTGGATTCTGAGTAAAGTGTTTCCGGAAAATTGGGCATGTTCTTGGGAGGTATTGGCTGTGAGATGTGAGATTAGATCTTTCAAATATGACTTTTTGATCAAGAAGAATATTATTCACCTTATCTTCCGAGTCTCGACGGGCCTCAATAGAAACAGTAAATTTCTCGAGATTGACGTTTGGCTGGACTTTCGGGTCCCCAATAAGGGCATCAGCACGCCTTAATGTGCCTGCCCTCGACCTGCTTCCTGGTCGTTGGAAGTACTGTTGATGTCGCTCAGAAGTACGTTAGCTTGTATAACGTATTGATTGTCTTGATAAAGGCTAGAGAAACGTACAGGCTTATCCCATGGGGACTGCTCGGTAGGACCAAGCCCTGGTGGATATTTCAAAGCCTTTGAAGGATGTTCTAACCCTGGCGACGGACGTACTAGGGCCTTTGTGCCTTCCCAATCCCAGTAAATAACCTAAAGGAGAGGTGAGATTGATGCGAAATGATTGAGGAGTAGATGTAGGGAGGTTTCGTTACCGCTGGGTCATAAGCCGCTGGGTTATGTCCCGCATTGGAAGCCATTTTGTGGACAGTTGATTCGTTTTTATATTTCTACGTCGCTCAGGAGATCAGTATAAAGAGAAGTTGACGAAAAGATGTAAGGGAGGATGAGTGGAGTGTTAGAGGGTTAATGGTACGGTGCTTAAATACACTCGGAACCAGATGCTGAAATGTACTTATGTAGCACACCACCCTGGCCTCCGGGAGAGAACAGGTCATAGGTGCATACCAGTTTCTCTTACCCGGCATAAGTTATAGGCATTTCGGAAGCTCAGTATGTTGTCCGTTCGGTCTCTTATTTCACACCCGCTCGCTCCAAATCTAGTGGTACGCGTTCTGCTGGTAAGCTGGCCATCTATTGCTCTAGTAACCACACAATTTTTCATACAAATGATTTGATATATATGGCTTTACGTATTGGAGGAAGTGATGAAAGATATATACTGACCGAACATATGCAGCATGCTAACGATGCCAGGCGTTTCGCCATCTGCATCATACAATCTCACTCAGAGCAATTCTGCCAAGAATTCTGGCATTTCCAATCTAGAGGGTACATTCGGTAAAGCGTGAATGAAGTCTAACTGCGATAAAAGGACAAAAGATGACGCCGAGGGTCAAGAGCGGAACTAAGGTTGTCTAAGCTGCGATTATGGGGTTAGAGAGATCAATTTTATACCCAACCCACAACTTATGTACCTACAAGGAGCTGAGGCTTGCCACTAGTGCCAAGACAACCACTGTTAGCCTGGCTTGTAACTACATGTAATTATATCAACACAAAGAGTCTTTGTCTAGGAGTCTCGATCCAACCACCAACCACCAACCCCAGACTAAACCCCTCTATTGGTTTGACAAGAAAGTTTATACAAGATGGATTATTTTGCCTCTTTAGAGGCTGAAAAACATTCAGACCATTCAGAATCCTCCAGCTCCCCCAGCACTATTGGACACAATTCCGATAATTTCACACAAATAACAACTCTTTCAATTCTTACCTCAAAAATACTTGGGGAGAATAGTATTCTTCGCGCAAAAAACAATGCCCTGGAAAAGGCTTTGGTCTGCAGTGATGAAAGGAATAATGTTCTCACCCACGAGCTTGAAAGCCTCAAAGAATCACCTATAACGCTCGCAAACCGTGCTGCAGAAATTCTCAAAGAAGACATGTAGGTATTACTCCAATTGAAACACAACAGCTCCATTCTCATCCGGCTAATTCCAACATTTATATCACCAGCCGTAAAAACGAATTTGATATTGTGTCTTGGATGAAGACAGCCGGCACCTTCTCTGCAGTCATTGCCGAAGTTGACAGGTGCTCAAGCCCATATTTAGAATCTGGTGGTGCTGCACGTTCTAAGCCTGTACCTCAGCCCTTGCCTGCTGACAAGAACCTGTCGGCGCCGGCGATTTGGAAAACGAAAACGCTCCCCCCCCGAAGCCTCAGAGGAGTAGCACCATCTAGCTCCCAATTTTCAACCGAGAAGGCCTCTCCTTGCATCGTCACCCTAACCAACATACCTAGGGGAATCTCTCCCATAAACATTGCTTCAATAATTCGGGGCGGTAAAATCGAAAGCATCTTTATCTCCCGCGATGATGAGAAAAAAACCCAGCTCGCCAGAATTCATTTCTCATCGCATCTTTCCGCTATCGAATACGCAACCTGGGTAAACCGAACTGATCCGCCACTCTATATAAACGGCGAGAGGATTCCGGCGGTTTTGGGATTAGGGTATCCTGCTACGAGAACAAACGCGAGCAGAGCACTGTTATTCGAGACCATTCCAGAATATCTAAGCACATATCCGCAATTTGAGAGGTGGGTTCTGCTCTCCATCACTGCCAGAATCCCCGGGGTGCTAGCCCATGATGCGATCCAAGAGATTAGATTATGGACCAACGGGAGTTTGGGTTGTAAACTACAAGGCGGGGTGGTATTTCAGTCGATTTCAATATCTGTACGAATGATGGAGACTTGGACCTCAGCTGGGTATAAGTTAGAGATACTATATGGAAGTGATGATTGTGAGGGTGAATTAGAATCAACCCGCAGAGAATGGGTTTTGCTTAGGTAAGTAGATTTGAAAGCTACTATTTTGAGGAATATGGAACGAAAGTTGGATTATCTGTGCATGCATACAGCGCGCATGCATCCACGAGTAATTAATCTATCTCTGACTGCGGGGATGGATGCAATTGGAGTTACTCCGAGATATCAGTTTTACTCATATTTGTGACTGGAATTAGATTGAGGTGACTGTTTTGGTCTTTTTAGGACGGTAGACAGTTCGGATAAGAAAGTGGATAGAAGATCAATTCATATATTGGCCGAACGGGTGAGGAGAGGCGCAAGCTTCCAGAGGACAGTGCTCTGTGTGATACATACATGAAAATTATGGGGGTAGTACTAGCTTCTATTCGTTTTCCGTTTCAAACCGAAACTTCTTTCGCTTGAGCAGCATGCCCGTCTTCATTAACGACCATTTCCTGCGTACCGGCAAGGAGTTCGCCCTGGGGATCATTGACCACCTTCTTTTTGAATTTCTGGTGTTTCCCTTGATGCCCAGGCTCAATGAACCTACATCTAACCCAGTCCCTTTCTCTGCACATGATTGATTCTGACAGCTTGACACCTTTGCCATAGGTATTAGCCACAGAAAGTGATAGTTTCGTTCTTGACTTGTTCCCATCTAGACACATTCTCTGGATATTGAGAAAGGACAGAACCTGCAGGTGGCGACGATGGTCCTGGCCCTTAGGGCATTTTGGGGATTCTAAAAGGCTATTCATATCCTGTATAGCTACAAAAGAATAAAGTTAGACCTCAATTCAAAACAGCTCAACGCTCATAGATTCAGTAACCATGGATTTACCTGCGTCAAGAACCTTCAATTTCAACACTTTACCAACAGCACTTCTCATCCCAATCCCCTCGGGCCAATCCGCAATAAACTGACATACCATGCTAGCGTGTTCCTCGCCAGGGCCACACGGTGTTTTATGTATTCTCCATGCCCTGGCAGCGACTTCTCCCGTCTCCTTGATCGTATCTATCGACTCTTGGGGCGCATCCTTTGGCCATTGTGTAACGTGCCCTCCATTTTCAATTCTCCACTCGGTTGTAGCTAGCTCTTTGCTCAGTTGCCGTTGCCTTCTCTTCCATTCCGCGACTCTTGATACCATTTTGCAGCTGCGATTATAAACTCTTGGACTAAGGCATGCAAAGTATTAGTGGGAGTGCCGGCTGGGAAGAGGAGTGCTCAAGACTCACGTATAAGAGAGAGCAGGTAAGTTGCTGGTGCTTGAATAGGGGTTGGGTTGGATTATGCATGGCACGGAAAACTTGGGTGGTAGATTTCAAGCTTCCCCACATGCAGTACAGCACAGGTGGCGACAGCGCTGAGCAGTTCCACGGCAACCGGAGAATACAGACCTCAAGAATGGGCTCCTACGGTGCACGAACTTTGGTTGGGCTAATATGTGCAATGATAACGGTGTGTATGCAGGCGGTTAATGAGTTGCATAATTCAATATCATATTGCTTAAGAGCGATCGAGGTATGTATCCACAAACAGTTCCGAGATATGAAAGCGCCTGTCTTGGCACCGATTATTTATGACGAGTGATATTTTGTGACCCACCTTGAATCAGGTCAACAGAACTGAGTTTCCATAGGAGAGGGGCGGCAATAATTGGCTTTTATTCGCGAATGAGGTACTAAATTGCAGCATGGATAGCATGAAGATTTCTTGCTTAACCTCGGATGGTAATAAATATTTACAGCCTATTCCACGACTGGGCGAAATAACCAAAGAGACAAATAAACATCACCACTACCACGTCCAACCAATTCAACAATTAACTAAAATTCACTTTTTTCCATTGTTCTTCCCAGGCGTGCCCTGCCCCTGCTGACTTGGACCGTCAACTGCTTTTTCAACAGTTCCAGCAATTCCGCCCTGTGCAGCATCGAATTGGCTTCCGATGGCTCCCTTGGAGGAGAAGGGACCTCCAATCTTCTCGCCAATCTGGCCAATCGCCCCATCGGCTAATAAGGGTCAGTTTCCAGCGATCTTTAGATAATCTTCAGAGAGTATTACGATTGAACTGCTTTCCGATTGCACCGCCTGATGAAAGGATCGAAGGGTTCTGTGTCTTTGTCAGAAGGCTGAACCACTGGCAGAACCAACTGGAGATGTTCAAACCTTTGCATCGGAAGGCATCTTCTCGCCAACCTTGTCAGCGGCCCTGTGGATTGGGTTATCATCACCGGCAAGCTTGCGGGAGCTCATTGTGAAAGTTGCTGATTGGGGAAGAGTGATAAACGACTTCAAAGAAGTTACAGGTAGTTTTTGGAGAGTGTTTCGGAACATTTGTGAGGAATGGTTAGAAGTTGGATGATGGGATTGTGATTTTATAAACCAACTAGCCGTCCCACAGGTTCGTTATAAATCACGCACTCCGCGGGATTTTCTGTGAGTTTCCTGATTCCTGATGGATAGTGTTCAACATCATGCTGATCTCTTTGAGCCTTGCCGCTGATCGAAGTCGTTCTCGAACATCCAGGGGAAGCTCTCTAAGGGAAACATCTTGGTGTTTAGGGGTTTAGCTCCTCTAGCCGGACACTGTCGTCATCATTTTCTCTAGCTTCCTGGCCCCACAACGTTAACCACCACCACCACCACCACCACCACCACTTCGCGTCATAAGGGTTTGATATCGCTATAATCTAGCATGATGTCACTCATGATCGAAGTGAGTACTTGTCCCTTCGTTAGCCCGACGAGGAGGCCTGGTTCTTCAAATGTGGGGAAGGGGGACGGAACGGCAAACCGTCAACCCTTTCGCGATAATCATCGGTGGTCATGGGTGCATTGATTGTACCGAGCTCTGCGGATTCGACATCCTGGTGGACGGAGAAACCGGCGTCAACGGTTCGTTCTATCGACGACATCGACAAGGCTAGCTCGTTTTCGGACTCATTCGCGTTGTCAAGCATCAAATCAACACCTTTTGACGTTTAGTATCATCGCGGCTAGGACCAAGTCACCAATGTTACTAAATATTTTGGCTTCAACCATTTCTTTTGATATCACGATTGCAAGAAATCAATTAAGGATGATTCGACTGATAATCTTGATAAAGTATGCCGACAGAAAACAAACACATCGCAGAAAAGAGAATAGGATACTTCAAGTGATATTGCACATATTCAAATATCAATTGTTACCAGAGAGATCCTTCACAGCCCGCAAGGTCACCATCATGCAATATACATCTACGTAGTCGCCTTGAGTCTCGACGGCTTGATAGCCCTGGTGTCAGGGCCACTCGACTTTGCGCCCGTCTTTTTGTTACAGATCGTACCGGCTTTGCACTATTACTTATAAGCAACAGAACTCCAAGCCCGCAGGAAAAAGGGACAACTTACACATCCGCCCTTAACACAAGTACTCCCAGCATCACACTTATCAAACTCTTCATTAGCGCCAAATAATCAAGAATAGCACAAATCCAGCGCGGGAACTTACGTAGCTTCCGTTCCTGCAGCAAGTTGTATTCTTCGGTATACAGGTCTTGTTCCCACACAGCTTCTCGGTAACCTTGCAACAGAGGGTTCGCCCGTCCTTGTCAGGAAAGCACCCAGTACCAGGCTCGTTGCAGCAGCCACCACTAGGACAACAGACCCCACCCATACTACAGCAGGCGTCTATCGGAACTTGTTAACGAGCAAGATCTTATGAAGGCGTTTGTATTCTATACCTTTTGATCCACAGAATCCTGTTTTATCTGCACAAAAGGAGCCATCTAACCCTGAGGGTAAAGAGATGGGTGTCATGAGCTCCGGGACGTATCCAGGCTCCTGCTTCTCAAGGTGTTGTGATGCCTCTGGACCGTCATTTTTACTATGTAACATGTTAGTCTTGTTTATGAAGATTAAAATTTTTGATCTACTTACTCTGACATGCCAGGTGACTTGCGATGTAGGTGATTGTTTGCATGTGTAAACACCTGAGTTGCAAAGAACAGGGTTGAGAGAGCGAAGTATATCGTGGCCTTCATGATAGATATTGTTGCAAATATGGGTTTAGAGATTATGGTTGGTGACCTGGTTTGAAGGTGGATAAAGGTGGGCTATATTGATAGCCATCTTCGAGACAGATCTACAGAGGTTGGGCATCTATCTACCTGTCGGTTTCAAGCGCAAGTAAGGGTCGAATCTGTAAGGTACAGGCTGCAGCCGAAGTGAGGAGGCATCCGTACCACTTGAAGCAGAAGCAAGGGATTTATCAAAACATTCAATATGGGGAGCACGACGACGACGATACGAATTTAACACTCATAAAGATATGGAAAGTGTGTATAAAGACCGGCACCGACTATTGGCCAGACCCCCCAACATCAGAAATGGAGATAGCATAGTACATGTGTGTTGGTTTGTCGAAAGGTCCAGACTTTCTCCAACGGATGATGTTTTTTTCTAGTAGAGACATGTGTATTCATCTCCCATTGATCTGGTCGCATATAAATTGGCTGAGAAGTGGAAACATTCGTTTTTCCTCGTGCAGATATCCGCACCGAGTGAAAAGCTATGATTTCGGGTATCCCCGTCCAATCCTCTATCCCGCCCCTCTACAGTAACCGAGCCCTCGATACGAATTTTTCACTAACCATAAACATTAAAACAACCGACCTAGCCGCCGTCACGTGAACCCACAAAGTTTCATCATAATTCTCAGCCTCCATTTCAATTCTCACGAAGGGAGAGTATCACCAAATCTCACCCATTTACTGCCCGCATATCATTTCCCTCACCTTCAAGCTCCTTGCTCTTCTTCAGTGGAGAGAAATCCAGAAATTACCACCAAAAAAAAAAAGAAACGATAATGGACGGCGAGTCCGTCGTCACGACCGCTCCCCCGCCAACTCGATGCCCCGCTGACCCCGCCTGCCGCCGTTCCTTTGGTGGCACTACGGCCCAAAAGAACCTCAACTCGCACCTGAAAAACGTACACACAGAGTACTATCGTACCTACGTCCGTCCCATCAAGGGCCCCAAGAGAATCAACCACGATGCCTACATCAGACAGAAGCAGAAAGACCCTGAAAAGGTCAAGCGACACAGGCTGCTTGCAAGGCTGCGGAAACAAGCGCGGAAAGAGCAAGTGGAGTGCATGAAGCGGCAGCGTAGTCCGAGTCCTCCACGAGCACCTGATCAAGGACTTCTCGCCATTGATATGGGGAACCCGTATTTTGTATTGGAGTCGGAATGTGGAATGTTTGTGGGACACACGAAGGGAGACCTGATGAGATGTGATGTGGTTAAAGTGCGAGATTTCATTTTCGATTTTCCTGGAGGTGTTGAGACTAAGGACTTAAAAAAAACAATAGATGCTGGAGGGCCTGGCGAGCAATGCATCTCGCAATGTTGCTGCCGTAGCGAAGATCCGGAATGCTATTGCCGTTGCGCGGTCGCAGGAGAAGGAAGCTTTAGCCGCCGATTACTACCGATACCGACGCGCTTTGCAAGACGTGGAGACCTTTGCTGAGCGTCAAACATCGTACCAGGCAGAACTATCGCACATACGGGAGCGACGGCTGGCACCAGAGGGGTTCCTCGATGAACAGGCGGTCCAAGTACGAGTAGAAGAGCTTCTGGAGAGATATGCCCAACGCTCCAAGACCGGGGGTGAAAGCACAGGCTCCGATAATGGGAATCACGACAAGTTGGACGACCGGGACGGTGAAGGCGAGCCCGAGGGGATTGTAGGAGATAGCGAGATACGATAACAGCCCGAAGCAGTTGGCTGGGAGATTGAAATAGGCCTGGTTTTTAGTGTTTCTGCGTGAGACGACATTCCCATGTGGCCTTGGTTTTGAAAACTGCAAGAAAGCCCTGTAACACTCTATTCCATTCCAAATCCTTTTGAATTAGAAGCGCTGCCTCGTCCTTGACTTGGTCTGCGGCATGTTGTGACACTGATCAATTGATATCCTCAATAGCTGTACCAGTGAGATCAATTTGCGGATTCAGCCGACAAACGTTCCTGGAAGATTCTTCATGTTAAATATCGGCAAGGGATATGGTGAATGATCAATAATCAGAAAAACGTATCTGTAATTTGATTTATGGGAGCACCTGATCTCATGAAAACAACAATTCCTTTGATCTGCGAGATGAAGAACCCAACTGGTGCCCACCTATCAGAGGGAGTGATGTTCCGCAGGATACTATGCTCTGATCAGAAACCCCGTAATAAATAGAGATCTGAAAGCAGAGAACGGTTTGAGGATAAAACCCTGAAGACATGGACTCGTAGTCAGGTATGAGAGGAGGTGTTGTCATCCCATCGCCTGTATTACAGAGCATACAACTTTGGGAGGGGAATAATTCGGTTGGTGAGTGGGAGCTAGCGAGTTGGGTGTGGTGACGAATGGGATGAGCAGTTGGCTGAATCTCGCCAACAGCCCTTCGACCCAAGCACTCAATCCAGCTCTTTTGGCTCAATTAGTCGTTGATCAACCTCACCGCCAGACCGTCAATCACCTGCTTTGAGAGGTATAGATCTGTACTGTGATACATCGCAGGGTATTTCCAGTGGGCTATAATATGAGTGGACGAAGGGATTGAATAACGATTCATTGGATACTACAACTCCGCGGCCAATTACCTACGCTCTGGTTTATCCGATAGAAAAATGGACAAATAGGAAACTCGGCAGGATAGTAACCAATCTGATACAGCTTTTGAGCGTGTTGGTCATTTCTTCCTTTGTGCATGTCTAACGATCGGGTTTCCTTACTGAAGTAGATAAACTTCTCTGGTCTCGCCCAAACCTCACTCTAACGGTGACCACCATACTACCTACTACCTAGGCCTAAACACAGAAAAGTCCTTATAAATCAGCCAGTAGAAATGTTTATGCTGATGACTAAGAGTTAGGCTTAACTATGCTCTTTGGATATAAGACTAGCTATAAGCCCAATGGCCCTTGAATAAAAAAGAGGGATATAACAGGTGTGTAGCCGAATACATTGCACTTAAGCATGTATCTCATAATCAAGGACCTCGATTGTAGTCCACTCTTCTCTCTCGTTGTTGGAATCTGTGGTTGGATCCATGGAGTTCGTCTTGTGAGACGAAGGTGCCTTAATATACATGTAGCTCAAAGGTTTCGTTTATGACCTTAAGCCTGTTTTAATCTGTGTATTTCGGATTTTGAAGGGCCAGTAATATTTTATCCCAAAGAGAGATCAAATTGTCGACGGCCTCTTTGGGGGAATTTTTATTCGAATCACTTACTTTATACACAGCCAAGGCCTATGAGTGGTCTTAGATTTTTGGGAAAATACAGGCTGACAATAAGTAATAGTGAAAGACAACAACTTCGAGTGATCATTCATGACTAAGTAATGTGCCAGACTCCATTCGATTGCAGCTTCTTTCAATAGTTCTCACTTTTAATCGATCTTAGTACTATATGTTGATTATTCAGAGATTGGAGAAAGAAAAACCCCTAGATCTAGGAATCTCGGCGCTCACCTCATATTAAGAGGAACTCTACAAACCAAGGTTTTTGGCATTCAAACCTTGTGAGTTGGTAAATCAGGAAAATGACAGTTGGGAGACAAGATCCCCTTTCATCCCTTTTCCCTTATATGAAAAAAGTCCAAAAGTTATTGAAAGAATTGATTCAAACGTCGTTTTTGTTTGGGTAAAGTTAAGCTACGAACTATCAACACATACATATATGCATGTACATGTAGTTACCGCGTAGAAATTTAGAGTGTACGCTAATCCAAGAAAGAACTCGGGCTAGGCTCACTACTACATGTATACTTTTGTCGACTCATTCTATAAGAATTGACATTATAGAAATGTATCAGAACTAACCTGAAAATAATTCTATTCTCGACATACACTAGCATCAAACTATATAAAGCCCTCTACCTAATTAATAGTTATCAATGCATCTATAACATATCAATCACACCAAGTTACCACAATGGCCAACGTTCACAAATCCAAACCGCGCATTATCGAGGTCGCCTTCCTCGGCGACCCACAGATAGGAAAGTCAAACCTTATAACGACCTTCACCAGTAACTATTACTCGGGCGAATACACAGCCACTGTCGAGTATACTTACACCTCCGATATTATACTCGGAGATAGCTCTACCGCCACGATATCTCTACATGACCTCGGCGGCAGCCCCAACCACGATCATTTACGCGTCCTGTTCCTCAACGTCCATACCAAGGTCAACGCATTTATTTTGTGTTTTGAAATTGGAAATGATCAGAGTATATACAATATCAAAACAAAGTGGTGGAACATCGTGAAACATGCGGCCAAAGATGTGCCGATTGTGGTTGTAGGATTGATGGCAGATAAGGATCCGGAGAGAGGATGGTATGAGGAGAAGGTGAAGGAAATCATTCTCGGGGCGGATAAGAATAAGAATAAGAAGAAGAAGAAGAACGAGGAGATGGGGGAAGGGTTTTCCTACGCGCAGTGCTCAACACTGACAATGAAAGGATTTACGGAGGTTTTCGCGCTAATTATTAAGGCTGCAACTCAAGATTAGAAGGGAAGTCCAAGCAAAAATTGCTGGGCCATAAATTTTGCGCTAGATATAAAGGCAACACAGGGGGACAATGCTAAGTTGTACGGAGAGGGTTCTTCCAGGATACTTAAATGGGATTTTGTATATACATGGAGGTTAAAGTGTTTGGGAATGACGAACTCTGATCTTGAATCATGGTTTGAAAGGATTCGTGCCAATCATCAAACCATACTTACATATATACATGTACATATATTTTACCCAAGTACTTGTAAGTTTATTTCTTCATTACAAGTATATATTCAGTTTCACATCCTGATTCTATTTACGCTTTGGTCATACAACTTATGCAACCTAAAAGGTTGAGAAAAATATCTCCATCCCAAAACATTTAGAGCCATCTCTCTACTTTGGATCATGAATGTCACATAGGTACATATATGGCGTGGAGTACGATCTCCCGGTATTTAATGTCTGGAACAAAGATTCTAGAGCCAAAAGGGTCTAGTAATCTTTAGTTCAAGGTGATGACCACATGAGCCATGGGCGACCTTGATGTATTGTACGACTATAGTTATATGGCTCATTACATATCAAACTCCATCATTTGACACTCGAAAAGGCGAATGATTAGATCCAGACGCGACTGATCAGTGTAGGCGAGACTGATCGTGATGTCCTATAACTACATGTATATTTACATGTAGGTAGAGAGTCTACAAGCTATAACAATTTGGCCGCGTGCCAAGGTAACCATTCCAATCCGCAAGCTGGGGCCGCTCCGAGGTTTGATATTATTAGAGTACTGCGGGCCGCTGCCGAACCAACTAATTTTGGTTAGTCACACTTGGCTGGTATCCGGTGCTAGCCCATTATCGGCCATAAATAGTAACTCTTGCAGAATTAACCACATATCAAGACAATAAAGTATTCACTGATTTCTACACAGAGAGATAAAGACTCCCAAACCGAAATTATGCCGGGATTATAGTGGTAGTTACGAGAGAAACTCTCCTGCAGTAGCAACGTACTATCAGAAGGGCGAAGAATGTCCTTATATATATTTAGGAGTCTGAGCCCCATATATATGACCTGCATGGCCATATGGAACTTTCCATTCGCAGGCTGCAATTGAAAGTCCGCACAGTGATACAACTGCATATATTAGACACAGTCAGTAACGCATTCACATTCCCAACAAACAAGACGCTCACCCTCCTTCCCCTTTCGAATTTCCCGCAACGCCGCCATTTCTCCCCACTATCGCATACTACCGAGCCGGGCCACTTATCACGGTGCTAAGTTAGCTGTTAGCACTACATTACTCCCTATCGCTGACACGGGTACCATGGTCCTACCGTCTGCTCTGATCACTGAGTTCTACTATTTCCCATGGAATAAAGGCCGTCTACTCGGACCTACGTACTCTACGACCCCACCTTAAGCCTTCTACGGTAGCTTTTATAACTTTTATGAAGCTGGCTCCCTCAGCTGACCCAGATGACGACCATGACTGGCGATGACGGAGGACGCTGGTGAGTTGGTATACGATGGGTTATACCATAAAGGGGGATGGGAGTACCTACTGGAATCATTCTTCAATATATTCGCGAGTGGGGAGCACGGGATACCTACAAAAATCCGTGTTAAAGCCCAGCCGATGGAGGATCAGTTTTTTAAGTTTTAACGAGCATCTAATTAAAGATAATTCGGATCCCGATAGGACTCTAGCTCTAGCAGAGAAGTCCGTTTTTGGTTGATGAATATAATGACCCAAAACGGATAAATCTTTGGCTGATATGATAGAATCGAAGGACGGTGATGTAGTGAACTGATAAACGACTACTATATTGCGGGAATTACTACCGCAAATAAGTTTGTGTTTGTGTGTTTTTTCAAGGCTTCCACGTTTTACATTACCTATTGAAAGAGTCATCAATAGTTCCCACCAGCTAGATATCCCGTTTCCCGACTATAGTTCCATGCACATATTGAGAGAAAACAGTCTGAGAACTAGGAGACTAGAAACCCACCGAGGTATAATAACTAAGATTATCCGTCAAGGGATACCTTGAATTCCCATGCACCAAATCTTTCTTTCTAGCTGCCTCCCATCAAACATGTCCAACAAATTAAGGCTCCAGCTCCGCGCCGAATACCTCTCCCCTTTCTCACCCACAACCGAGCCTTATCCCACAATCCTAGGAGATATTAAAAGTCTTCTTAGTCGAAACCCTTGTAAAGCTCTAACTAGTATAGTAGCTCCTCTATATTGACGCGTTCCTGGAAGAAACGTTCGGGCATTACCCCGCAGCCCCACCAATCCTTTCATGCCTCGAGCTCTGCCTCCCATGATACAAAGCACGACGACCGACACATTGACGGACACCTCCCATTTACAGGCATCATATTTGGGGAATTTTGGCCACGGCATACGATACATTCACATCAGTGGATCAGTTCTAATCTGTCCTGATACGTATTAGTCGGTGGCATTCTCGAGGATGAGAGGGTTATAATATAAAAGAGAAGATCAAAGCTACGGGGAGAAGACCGTGTATTTCAGGTAGTGGCATTAGAGAATTTATACGGGGACAGTAGGTTTAGCTTCTACTGGTGATCTGGCGGAGGAGTGTTAACGAGTGATATTGCGTGAACCCTATCTAGCAATGCTTGAGAGGAAACTGTTTCTGACGATAGTGTACTCGCGATATATTTCTGTTGTTGATACGAATGAAAGGACACGCTTTCGGTATGAGTAAGTGCTTTTCCAGAGTCAATGGTTAGTTTTAGGTGTTCATTGAAGACCATAATTTTCGGAAACACCAATCGGCCGGCCGGCCGTGAATTTAGTTACTGGGACAATCATCATGACACAATTGCAATAAGCGATATTCTTCCTTTTTCAGATGTAGAATAGTTCTTAATGTTTATTTAAAATGTCAAAACTGGTATTTTGATATCTTTGACCTAGGTTTCTTGTAGATTTTTAGCAACAACTAATATTTATATTTGTAAACCTGTATTTCATCTATACGTCGTCCAGACAGTAATAAAGCGATCAGACCACAGATATACGGGAGCTCACTTGTACCGAAGTGTTATAGCTTTGTAAATCTCTTCTCTAACCTGGCATAGATCTTTTTTTCCCCATCTCATCAAGACGGACAGGATTCGAAGAGGTCGAAAATTGCCACTCTTCATTATAGGTGGTCATCAGATCAACCCAGCCGGAACTCCGCTACTTACCCAAAAGTCGTCTCGTTGTGCATGTGCATGTGCATGTGTAGGTAATATATCTTCGGTTAATTAATGTGGTGGGGAACTTCACGGTAATGCAGTAGTGAAAGACCGGGAAAGCATACTAGGAAACGTGCCAACAGCAGCAACTAGAACTATGAACGGGCGTTATTAGGTAGTTGATCGACACTAAAAGAATCTTGAAGGCATAGATCAAGTGGCTAATTTCAGATACTGCATTAAAATGCCGGTGGGGAAGTACCAGATATGAACACTTTGGGCTTAAACTAATGTTATCTATCCTTGTGCACTCTCACCATCTAGACTCCAGACACCTGTGAATATTTTGTAGATGACTACATGTACATTAGATAGTGATAAACTCCCACTTCTGCCGTCGCTTTACCTCATTTCAATCTGGACCTAGTTTATTTCTTCATCGTTCGATCCACGACACATCACAGCTATGCATCTAATCATGCCTATATATTTACTAGTACAATCTCCAGTACACGATTAATGGTAGTTAAGTTTTATTGGCCAACTACATAACAAGATTAATGCTGTTTAGTATATAATATCAGATTCAGCTTCAGCTAGTTGCGATTGGAGAAAGATACCTCATAATTTAAACCGAATCCTCAAACCTCGAGGGTAATAAGTGAGTTTTCTATTTCAGAGATTGGCGAGTTAATACTATGTTCTTCCCGACGGCCATCATCCTATTTTGTGCAGAAAAGCTCGACCCTTGCATAACATATCTTGATCTTTAGAAGATCATCGAGCTGAGAGGGGTAATTACTGTCCCTTCCTCGTATATATTAAGTCTCCATCTTGCATGATGAGATGAGTTGCATGGAGTAAATATTTCTGCGACTATGTACTTTTTTTACACAACGGGCAGCCAGTCAGAGATCAGCTACTGAGTCAGCCCGTCAGTTATCACTTCTTCAACTTTGTGTCTCTTCCCTTCTTTTAATACCCTGTTTACACCTTAATTTCGGTTTTGGCCGTATTGGTGAACCACATGGCGGACGTTCGGGCCGAGAGCCAGGTAGTCAACGCGTTTCTTGATTGGAGATGTTTCCGAGGGCCACCTAATTATCAGGGGAGCGGTTATTGCAGATCAGGAACAGCTTTGCCTTCCGTCTCACCACATTTAGAGTGCTTTAGTCAGTCTCTCTCATTCATAATTCACCGAACAAAGTTATAATATTTTAGCAGTGCGTCAATGGCAAAAAATGGAAATTGTCACCGACTAAACACTCTATTGTGATTGCGTTGAAACTCACTCTGCATTGTTTCTTGGCTGTGTTCAAGAATATCGTATAAAGTGCTGATGTCTCACTAGATAGGAAAATAGTGATATCAATTAAACGTACTCTATCTTCAATGCGCCTCTCTCGGTTTCATGCATAGGCTTTAGTTAAACGAGTTCTAACGAAACAAGAGCAATTCCTGGATATATATTATACCATAGTTATTACGAAAACCGCTCCTGCGGAATTTCGGTTTTTCCTTGGGTCAAGGGAAGCAACGTGATCATGAGCTGTTGCTTATTGCGAACCACCATTCTGTAAATGGAAAGAAACGTGGTTGATTATGCATACATAAATTGTTTTTAGAACACATGTTGTGTCCTCGACATTAATCCTCTGGAAATCCCAAAGACTCTATAGATGCACACCTCGGCCTGGTTTTGTCGAGACCAATATGGGGAGGCATCCGAGCTTCGGAACCGCCGCTAGCGCTCCTATCCTATTTCCAAGTAGGCTGTCGGCCTGGATACTTCTTCGGATCATTAAAAGTGCCATAAGAAGTAGCTGGGATAATATCGGCTATTATTGACCTTTGCCTTCTTGAACGGGCGTCTGGTAACAAGCACGTCCCGGAGCCCTATGTCAGGAACGTGAAGCTGGGATTCGCACAGCTCCGAGACGCTCTGGGCTGCAGTTACGGAAATCCTCCGCACATATGGTGGGATAGTAATAATTATTTCTTTCTTCTCCTTCTGAGTAATTCGAAAGAGAACTGTGGGGTGTGGTCGCACTACACTGCGGGGAACTTGCGGGGAAGGGGTAGAGAAGCGTATACTTGATGCTTGAAAGGTTGACTCTCAGTTTGAAGAATCAATAATATTAGGCGTCGGATAAATGAATAATAAGGGTCCATTCCTTATGTAGGAACACCACTTTGGCTCAGGTCCCAAAGGGAAGGGGAAAGTTCTGCTTCTGCTTGCGCCTTCTAAAAGAAAGCTGTTTTATGCATATTGACGTTAGAAAATCACTCGCATCGATCGCGGGGTGCAGTGCGGAACCCATTACAACCTGCGTTAGACCTTTTGGAAAACCTTGCCTCACCGCTCCCCTTGAATACAGTAACGTATTGTTAGCTTAAGTATTTGCGCCATTACGTACTATCCGTATTTGCTCAAGTACGAAACAATCGTAAACGAACACGTACTGGTAGGAACGATTCATGCTGTGATTGATATTTCTTCATCCAGGCTTGGGTCGAGATCAAGACACGATTAATGTGACAAGCGAGAACAGTGTCTGAATAGCTAGAGATGTGGTTACATACATTATGATTCAAGCACCACAATGATCCTGGAGAAAACGGTGTAAGCGTGGCTCATTCGACCCCAACCAAGAAGCTGAGTAGCATTCTAGGAATAGATATTCCGAAATATCTGATGGATGTCAATCCCTTAATCCTCTGTCGGTAAATCAGGAAGATGTCTCCGGTGCGTAAGAATTCCAAATGTTTGAATCTATCGTGTTGTTTTCGCCGCCTAAGAAACAAGCAGTAAAGAGAGATAGGTCTTAGCAGTACCATTAAAATCGTTCATGATTACTGTCCTTCCTAATACCAGAGATTAGTTAATCTCCAGAATATCTGCTGCTGCAGAAACCAACTTAAACCATCATCTACCAGGAAATTTGTATGAGGGCTTGATTGGCATTAATTACGTGCACCTTCGATAGGATCTGAGCCTACCAACCTCATAAATGAAAGGAAAGGCTTTTTGTTCGTACCTTTCTTTCCATGTACCATTATTAGTCCTTGATACCCCAATGCATAAAGATTATCCGTGTAAATTGCTTTTTCCAACCCCATAACCCTGGCCCTTCTGTGCGAGATTCACTTTGTCTACGCCTTTTACACTTCATGCCCCGGGATTTTATTTTACTTTGACAAGTAAGGTGCCTCACATGACCTTTCATGCTCCTTTCGAACCAGGTTGAAATTTTCAAGCGCAAATCCTCATTGGCTGGAGTAACTCCTGTGGGAGATGATACAGCAGGACCCCACACATCCACCCCTTCAAAGCTTCCGGATCATAGGTCCACTTAAGGTAAAACCGTTCGCGGATCCTTAATTCGAGCATTTTATCATGTTAAGATCCACATAAAATTACTGGAACGCCCGTATATAGTGATGATGAAGCAAGGATCCGGATCAATCACAAGCTTGATAGCACTCTGGCGAGTTGTTTATCCTTGATGCAAGGTACGATTTAATGATCTTCTTCTGATCGAATAGGTCCAATTAGAGGATATGAGGCAGAACTGAGTAGGTTAAATTATGGTGATATAACATAAGCAAATAAAGCTTCATCCGTAGGCAACGGGTTTGATGGATTGAGATTGCAATATGAATCATGATACTGGGAGCTCTCAACTCATGTTTTAGTATGATTGCTGTCCTTATCTTAAGAAAGGTTGAGGTGCCCATAATCTATTAAGTAGCAACGATGACCCTGCGATGGCCTTGAACCTGTCAGGAACATGTAAGAACATGTACCCTAGGCGTATGAGATGACATTACCTATCCCAGATAAGCTTAAGGGAAACATAGAATCATCAAGCTTGCTGCAAGTGCTCAGGTTGCCCGTGCCCAGTTAATCAAAAGCTTGTTTGAAGCAGGCTCAATGAGATTTCCTGGATTTTTATTTCTTAGAACTCAACCACACTTTGATTCCGCCTTTGCGATTTGGTACTCGTGGTGTGACGGACTGGGACGTGGGGTTTTGGAACACAGGCACCGTATTCTTTCAACCCCAAGCTCTCTTTCCAGTTATAATTATTGATACCCCGGAAGTCTATTTTTTAGGCTAACCATGAGGGATTTTTTGGGTCGTTGTGATAGAGGACAATTGCCAATAATTAATGGTACAGGTGTGAACGAACTCAACCCCAGATGTTGAATTCCTCAGAAGATTGTGCCTGACCAGATGAACGGCGAGCGGCCACCGCGAAACAAATGAGCTGATGGTACCGTATGAATATGTACAACCAAATCAAGACCAAAAAGGCACTGTGCAGGAAGTTGTGTAATACTGGCGCTTGAGATATATGCAGAATATTCCGGCTGAAGTAACCACGTTAAACGAGCTGGAGAGGCTCGGGATTTTTTCTTTGTTGACCTCATATTGCATGCTCCTGTAACTCGATTTGCGATCGAGAGAGGCTGAGTTCCCCTATGTACTCTATGTCCACGCACACCGGCTCTATATCTACATCACGGAACGTTTAGACAGGAACCCCTCGAGACAAATAAGTCTAGAAGTACGTAGGTACCTATCATGTCTTGACGCTTTGAAGGAGTATTAAAGACAGACATTGATGTGTAGATCAGCTAGTGAAGTTCGTTCCATCATGTCACTGATCACTTCGCTCGTTCTTTTATCCAGGTCGTATCTCTGTGAACCTCTCGGAGCCTAGATGCTCCGTGGCTCATGTATGTAGTAAAGGTGGTTGCACTTGGTGGGTCATGGAGACTGCTGCTGCTGTCGTGAGAGCCTAGGCAGGAACTCAGCACCATCGATCTAACCGTTAACTGCCCAAACACTAAATGTCATACCCATGTTGGAATTGTACAACCCTGATGATACCCACAGTGTAAGGGTTTTCAATACCCGTTAATCGCAATATATTGAGCAAGCCACATCTTATGTCCGCTCTACTTCTACCCACCTAAATTCTTGTATCTGACTAACAATGTTTTCTCGCTTGTGTACACACAGAAAAATTGAAGTACGAACGTCCGAAGCCTAGATACATGTACCTATCTAGCTGTCTGCATTAAACTTCACTTGCTAAGAAACCAAATCAGTTATCTGCTGCTGTCACTCCTGCCAGTTGCACGACGTACAGGGGTAGCCCATGTCATCCCCACCAAAAATTTGATACATCACATACATCACATCATCACATTTGCCCCATCCTCCTACCTACTCTAGGCTCTGGGGGGATCTATCGCCCCCAGATTACTCTAGAGTAACTCGCACTGACAGCATACAGCCTGCACCCGAGTTTTTCACTCTTGATATCCCTGGCATGCCATTCCCGCTGTCTGCTCAGTTCCCCACACCTAAGCCATCGTATAAACCCCAAAACCTCTTGACAAAACTAGTCAGTAGGCACACACTCATTGTGCAAGTCTTATTTATGCATGTGTGCCCGTGTGCTCTCTACCCTAGCTAGCCTACGGTGTGTATGTATGTGTGTGCATGCGCGTGTAGTGTGGGTACAGTAGGTACTCTACTCCATCGTTGCCCAAAAGCACCCTGTACTCTATTTACAAGGACTCCCCCTCTCCGGGCCTATCTTTGCTCCTCATCTCCCTGTCGCCATTTCTTTTCCTTTCTTTTTCTCTTATTTCCCCTTGCTTTCTCCTTTTGTCCAGGTCCGTCCACCCCGCAGACGTTTTTATATACACATGTATAAAAAATAACTACGGGCAATCGGAGTCGGAAAGCGACAAGTAGATCAACTCCAACCCTTATATTTTCACACTCCTCCCCCTTCTTGTCACCAGAAAGCTTCAGGGCCTTGAAATATTAATATCGGAGAGAGCTCCAGTAGGAATTTCCGAGCCATCTACAGTTTTCACCAGATCGATATATATACAGATCAAGGTTTAAGGTGTCTTGTCGTCACCACTTCTCTCGTATCAGATATATATTGAGCTTCTAGAAAGAGAGCTGCAACACAGAAGCAACCCGCTTTGACAGGCAACTGCTCTATCAAGCATTGTCCTTCAATTTACTCTTCGGAAGACTGTCCACCGCCTTCACGCCGTATATCCTTTAAAATACTACTCGGAACCGACGGGAAGCAGCCACTTCACTGTGCTCTGCTCTGGCCACCAAAACCATCCTTCCTTCCTTCTCTCCGGACCCTTCAGCCCTATCTATCATCACCCCACCAAGACCACCCTTCGTGGTCGGTAGACATCCCTAGCCACCCATCGTGGAGTCCGTAACCATTGATCAGTCTTCTGTTACGTTGGCACCTGCACCTCGGCCTCGCCGTCGGAGCAGTCGTTCGATTTACCGTCCGGCGGGTATTCGCAAGAATAGCACCGAAAGTGATAGCGGAAGCGGAAGCCCTCTTATTAGAAGCATGGGAAGAATGGCGTCCATATTAGGATCATCATCTCCAGATGTCTCTCCAACTACCTCTGCACCTCAAAATGGTCTACCCGGCCTTCGAGACAGCTTCCCGCTCTCATTGTCTTCTTCTTCTCCGAATGGGGGGGGAGGGGGAGGGGGAGGGGGCGGCGGCGGCGGAACTGGAGGGGGTAGTGGCGGCGGCGGCGGAAGTCATTCAAATGGAGGGGGAAGTACAGTAACAGGAAATGGCAGTGAGAATGGAGGAAGTAACAGCCGCGAGAGAGCACCTTCACAGAGTTCTGACAGAGATATTACAATGACCGGTTTGTCTACAGCCTCGAATGGTACTAATGGGTCAGTCAATACTCCTACAAGCAGGAAGAGGCAAAGTGTAGACGGTGTGGAATACCCTCGCAGACGTGCAACAATAGCAGTAAGCTAGCTCCATCCTAAGCATAGTGCTTACTCTCTTCTACAACCCTAACCCTTAAACTTCACCTATCATATGATACCAGCTTACTGATATTAAACGCATAAATAGTGTGAGGTCTGTCGTTCTCGGAAGTCACGATGCGATGGTTCAAGACCGAAATGTCGTCTTTGTATCGAGCTGAATGCAGAGTGTATATACCGGGAACCCGGCATTAAACTCGACGCTGGTGACAAACTCATCCTGGAACATCTCTCCCGAATCGAAAACCTACTCCAAACCGCACTTCCTTCAAGCCCTTCTGGTAGCAACAATGGTATGCCGATGTCAGCTGGATCTCCAGCTATCAGCAATGCCACCGGGATTAGTACTGAGGATATGCTGATGAAATCCACCCTCAATCTTTCTGGTATTGGTAACCCTGGGCCGGTCGGTTTGGGGACATGGTCAAACTTTTCCAGCATGCCCAAAATCCATTCAACGCCTGCGCTCCATCTCCTTCAATGGCCCAAGATATCGCAATTGGTCTCGCGCCCCTACAGCCCATCACATCTGCTACAACTTGAGTTGGCTCGAACCCCGCTACAACTAAACACCTCTTTGACACTTGATTTATCTAATACTGCCGCATATGTACAAGCTTTTTTCGAGAGAGTTAATGTGTGGTATGCCTGTGTTAACCCATATAACTGGACAAGCTACTATCGAACAGCTCTGTCTCAAGGGTTCAGAAGCGGGCCCGAGAGTTGCATCGTTCTATTGGTATTAGCTCTTGGTTGTGCCAGTACTAGAGGCAGTATTTCCCGCATTTCGCAAGACGAAGACCCTCCCGGGATGTCATACTTCTCGGCGGCATGGGGACTATTGCCATCACTTATGACAAGAACGACAATGATCTCTGCTCAATGCATGATTCTTACGTCGGCATACCTGTTCTATATTGTCAGGCCACTCGAAGCGTGGACTTTGCTCAGTAGCACCAGCATGAAACTACAATTGCTTTTAAGCACCAACCCTCCAGCGATGTTGCCAACCGCCAGCAGGGAGTTGAGTGAAAGGGTTTACTGGAATGCTTTACTGTTTGAAAGGTAATAACCAAGTTATCTTGACCTAAAGTCTATATTTCTTGAAACTGACTTGTATTAGTGACCTTCTTGCGGAGCTTGATCTGCCTCACTCGGGTATAGTTCAGTTCGAAGAATCCGTAGGACTGCCTTGTGGGTTTGAGGAGGAAGACGAGGAACCCGTTGGTGGAGGTCGTGATGATCTGTGGTATTTCCTTGCCGAGATCGCTTTACGTCGGTTGCTCAACCGCGTGAGCCACCTCATTTACTCCAAAGGCACATCCACTGCGATATCTTCACTAGCACCCATTGTTGCGGAGCTTGATTACCAGCTCACACAGTGGTATGAGAGTCTACCAATACCAGTTCAATTTCCACATAGCAGAATCATGTTATCAAACCCGGTACAAACAGTTTTGCGGTTGAGATATTTTGCTTGCAGGACTATCATATTTAGGCCATATATTCTGGCAGTGCTGGAGAATGAGAAGCTTGGGATGGATAGCACGGTTCGGGAAAATTGCCGCAAGTGTCTGGAGGCGTGTATTCGACAGTTAGAGCATGTTACGGAACAGTAAGTCAGACTTTACCCAGCCTTCTCGGGGTACCACTGACATTAGGTTTTAGTCACGCTGGACATATGCCTTACCTTTGGCAAGGAGCATTATCGTGAGTATAACCTATCCGAGCGAGGGCAAAATATGACACGTATCTAACTCTTATGTAGCATTGTATCACAATCTCTCCTTGTTATGGGAGCAACAATGTCCCCGTCGCTTGCTTCGGTTCTCCCCGCACCAGAGCAAATGGATATAATGTTCCAAGATGTCATCGAGGAAGTCGAACGCTACGCCCACCTCGCACCTAGTTTGAGAATGTCGGCAGAAATCATCCGAGAAGCTGAGGATAGAAGACAAGTCTATCTTCGCAATGCGGGGATGAGGGTATAACTTCCTAATGGCTGAGCCATATTGGAGGAGAAGGGTGGAATCCGGTGACAATACGAGCAACGAATCACGTTACATTAGTGATTACGCCGGCGCCAGTTATTGGAAGGTTTTGAGACTATTACTTAATCCCTGGGGTATTGAGTAGAAGGCGATATCACACATTTTCTTTCACTTCTTGGTTTATTTTGACGCATGTCTGTTATACTTTCTGAGATCTACTCGGATGACTCTGTATTACATATTGTCTATTTCTTTTGGAACCTAAGTCCTTTTTTTTTACTCGACTTGGAGCCAGCACTTTGATTATGCATTTTCTTTCTTTTGTTTTTCATATGTTCTATGAATCCTGGTGGGGCCGGGGCTGGGGCGCGGGGTTGATCTTTTATTTATTTATTCCACTTCTCTCACGTACGTACATGAAGGGGTTGAAGCAGCGATGTCATGTTTTACTTCCACATACCAAAACTTGAAAGTCTCGGGAGACTCTCAGGCTGTTTTGGTCTTTATTTTATATTTGCTGGGGGATCGGGAGTCCTTTGCAAAATTTAGGGTGACCAAAAGCATTTTGGGGGCAAAGATGTTTTAAATCATGGTTCATGTAGTTACGATTTCACTTGGTAGATGACTAGTATGAAGGGGGAGTAATATCTGGTGTTTAGTTGGTTGAGCCGCGATAGAATTATCGGTCGTTCCTCCCAAATTAATAATACATCATATCAGTCCGGTGGTCAAGCAAACGTCCACCACTACAAGAGAAATATATGAGTGCTTGTGACACTTTCGTATCGAGATCTTTCCGACTGGGGTTTCCTTGGTACATAATAATGCCACCAACTAAAGCCATGTCCCCTGTAATAATTTCACGGATATTAAGTACATACAGCCTTACTAGCTCTCATAGTCAATGCAGACTCTAATCTCCTCAGACTTGCTGACTGGCCCCCAAAACCACCTGTTTTCTCAGTCATCAATTACCTCAGATATCGATGTCCCCAAGGTCGAAATTTAGAGGTCAATTAACAATATCGATACCAACATCTCCCCACGTATCCTATATTAACAAATCCATACCGACTCCGCAGTTCCCTCCGAGGACCTCCACTTTGAAGACCGATCGATAATATCACAAGACAAGTTCTGGCCAACCTGAACCTTTATACGTAAAGCCGACTGTACGTACGTAGCTCATGTCCTAACCTGGCGAACTGATATTGGGATCTACTTTGGAGGCATCTAACAAAAGAATCATGTTTTGGGGATTATTTTATTTCAGCCTGACCACGATCACGATCACCTCGCCCTCATGCAAGCAAGAAAAAAAGGACTTGTGATCAGTTACAAAGTTCTTTTTTTTTACCCTTTCACCGCAAGCAAGATCTTTTTTAACCACATCACAACGGTACAGACGAGGTGGGTACTAGAGAGGGGGTTCGAGAGGTTCGCCCGAGAACCCGGCGAACCACTGAAACCATGCACTGAGACCTTTCTTCTCTGCATACATGTCTACTAACATCTTCAGAAAGCACGACAGACGTGACGCTATCCCAATGATAGTTGGCCGCCAGTCATAAGATACCCGTTCGATGTGCGATGTGCAAAGAAGGACCTGACCGGGAATCACTAAAGACCTTGCATGAATATATTCCCCCTGCAGGAACTTAGCGATCGAAAGTTCTATCGCCAAGCGGGCAGATGTCTGTTGCCTAAATTCGCTGCTAATAGTCGGAGGCGAGACTTACGATTAATGAAACGAAAAGCTTCTTGAACACCTCAAAAAAAGAACTTTTGGACTCAAATCCGTTGCTGAAATCATATGACTAGCTTCCTAGGTATTTATGGCCATTTGAAGTATTCGGTTCCGGAGAAATGATATTCCGAATGACCCGGTGTCTTGCTTATGTGACAATATATCTGGCCCGGAATTGTTTCTTCGTTCTCCGAAGGTTTGGTATCTGGAATGGAAATCTCTCCGCTTTAACGACGAAACATCAGATCAGAAAGTCCGGCATTGCGTAAAAGGCCGCTTTCTCGGGATGCGGTTTGATTATCACCTGTCTCGACCTGGAAATAGAGACGAGGCGAAAGATTACTCGGTTTCATGATCTATTAGGAGTAGTTTGAACCTCTGTAGCTAACAGATGATTAGAAACACGGCATAATCTCCATTACGATCCTTACTCGAAGTATTAACACCCATTATATATGCTTTCTGGTAGGAATGACTTGCTAGTTCCGGAAGAGAACCTCTTTTGGTCCTAGATATGAACACTTTAGATTCTTACACGGAGTGCCAAACGGAGTCGACATGACAGGTTACAAAGCTAACACCTGCCGAGGGTGCGTGACCAAATATTGATCGAATCGACGATACCTTACACTGTATTGACATGTCAACATTCGTATTTCTACGTGCTCTATGGGTTTAACATGATGCATGAGATAGAGTAGAGCACATAGTTGAAGGCACAGCATAGAGTAAAAGCTCTGCATGAACTTTAAAAAGCTCATGTTGCCAAATAAAAGCTCAATTTGGGCGGCCTTTTCTCTATTGTTGTCCCCAATACCATATCAATACAGCTTGTCTAACCGCTGAGAAACTAGGAACGGTTCTGCATTCACTTGTCTCGGGCTGCAGGCAAATACATACATGTATGTACGTACATGTATGTACATATGTGGAAATATGTATTGAATACAGGCGCCGGGCTAGGACTACATATTGTTTAATCAAACAATAAATGTACCTACATACGGGCAGACAGCCACCCGGCCCATTCGACCTCGGGCCGAAGCAAATAAAGTATAACCAAAAGGTCTAACAGAGCGTTGAAATCTTACTGGTTGAAGCTGCATGATACATGCCCCCACTACATGATGTAGGAGTGTTCAATTGCCGGCTGGGAGTTCTTCACTGAACAAAAAAAAATCTGCCGCCTGTCATGATAGCAGTTCTTTTCTTTTTCTTTCCCCACAGACGGCCATTAGCAAGCTCCAGAGTTCCGGAGGTTCCGAAGAATGCTTGTCCAAGTAGTGTAGATGTACGTCTGTGGTGGTCGAAAACAGTCCAACCCGATCCTACATTTACTTTCTCCTCTCAGGTTGTGCTCCGGGAAACGACAAGTCAGGTAAGTACATGTAACCCATTAATCCAAATAATTACCCCTTTATCATTACTGAATACATGTATTCATGGTGCGACATCAATTCGACTGTTCCACGCACATTGGAGTATGTACGCAGTGCATGTGCACACTAGGGAACTCCAAGATGCGGGAAATATTCAGGAACTGTAGAGCAGCCTCCCCACAGTGTGTAACATGCACTAGCTAAGCTACTAGCCGTGCGCACGATCCTCTCTAGCCCAGGTAAGGCAAGCGGAACCAACGATATTTCGAAAGAACGAAGTGTAGCTAAACATCGAATACTAATCCGCAGCTGCAGTGATCTTGGAATTTAACCAATCAGTATTCACGTCTGTTTCTGCAATACGTATTGTGGCTTGAAGGAAAGGGTCTAAATACATGTATACATACCACATGTGCGTATTATAACGCTGCTGTCCAAAACGAAAAGTAACACTTCCACCGTGACAGCTATTTCTAGCTGCTTAGATACCTACATACTTATAAATCGATGATCAGGCGCCACAGTTCACTGAGAATATTCCCGTATGCAACTACATGTATCCTTGATCAATTGGACCTCAGATAGCAAAACAATCAATTCTCAGGGTCCGGGGATAAGACTAAATTTGTATAAGGAGATGATTTCTATCATGTTACGATACGGCATGACTTTCGGTGAGTATAGATGGTATAGTCACTCCGGCAGTGGCAGCCTGGGGAGCCTAGAACCTACAATCCATCTTCGCTTTCGTTTTACTGGTAACTGTGCTACATATGGTACTTGACTTTCTATTATTCTGATTCACTTATTCGAGCTTAGTGCTGATCTAACAAGTCTTGTGAAACCTCTAGCCATGGGCCTACTAGCTTATGCAATGAAACAAACCAGAATGTAGTTCCTCACATACTACTATCGAGCACATACATACTTGCAATAAAAGATGCAATGCTGCATGTCCTAAACGAACAAATCAATCAATAAGAGAGACCTGTTACAGCCCTAACTCTAGTATTCTCGGGCCTGTAAGGTCTAGATAGAGTTTTCCAGCTCGTTATTCATCCGTCCGTGCCGATTCCGGCTTGGCCTTTTGGCCTTTAGCTATAGCTACTCAGCATTCAAGCATTCAGGGCTAAATTACCGAAGACGAATTCCAGGGGCTGCACCCGAGCGTCAGTGCTGTGAAGGACTGTGGGGGATCGATCGCTTCCAATCCTATTCACTTAGTCCAGGCGACATGTCAAGACAAACTTGATATGTATGGGACGGTTGCCTGGCTTAGAGTACATGTAACCATGACGGTGACAAGGTCCCGGATCCCCGTGTGTTTGAGAGATACCTACTCTACATGTAAGTGACTACCCGGTTGAGTGCTTTTATTGGTAGGGTCTCTTTCTATATGCTGTCCTGGCTATTTATACAAAGCCGATTTCAAACCGTTTGTTTCAGATGCCTTATTTAGTATGTAGTCTACTAGATCTAAGCTGCATTGTTTAGTAGCCTTCTAGGTTTAATCTGCCCAGACTACGCTATAAAGTCTAAAGACTTGTGGACTTCTTAATCCCTGCGTGCCGCCCCGGCTTCATTCGAGGTAGGTTTCAGCACATAATCGCACTCGGTTTTCTAATCCCACCATTATTCATTCCACGTGCATCACAATCTTATATTTCGCCTCTTCTTACTGTCCAGGGTTGCATTGAAATTATTCCGCCTTAGGTTGGTAGCACATACACTGCATGTAGTAAGCGGCGTATATCATTTATCGCCATGATCAATAGTTGATCCTGATTCGAAGCCAAGCCCAAAACAATCAGCTAGAGTAGGGGAGATATCGCAACGATGCATATCATATACTTTGCCGCCCCCGATTTTACCGTGAGTCTAGAAGCTGGGTCTGATGGGAAGTAATCTCCGGGTTCCTCGAGCGGGACCCTCGAGCGGGACCCTCGAGTGGGGCCCCTCTGTCCCGGGTCCATGTCCTCGAATTGTCTCAAATTGTCCCAAAACGCACCGACTACCTCATCGGTTACCAACGAGTCGACCTGGTTTCATCAAGTCTTAGTAGTAATGATATTTAGCGTCAATTGTGAATATCTTGTTGATCCTATCATTACCTTTTGATTACTCAACCATCTAACTCCTTACGCTACAGACTCCAGATGAAGCTACTTTAATCATGATATGTTGTATGTCGAATGTAATGAGCATTGATTTCTCACAGCAGCCCTTAACACAGTCTGCTCGTGATGTATCAACTCGCCGCACAATTTCAATCAGTTACAGTGTTGATTGGAATTATTATTAATCTTTTCCTGCCCTCTACCTATCATTGTAGTCAGCTTCTGATGTTATCAGTGAGATCTATTTTCTTTCTAGTCCATATACTTCAATGATAACCTGGCTTTATCAAAGTTTTGACTAAGGAATCGATTGCTTCCATTTGATTATTTCTTACATCGTACACGAAAGCGAGTAATGAGCTTCTTGTGATGGCACAAATAACAGGTTTATCTGTTCTCCTAGATCTCCAACGATCTTCTGCACCTCAGCAGTATTTTGTGCTTGTCGTAAACCCAAATCGAGATATTTAGTCATATTTTATCACTCGTATACCAAACTTTAACAACTTGATGTCAAATAACTGTAAATACCAATCATAGATAGTAGTAACTCGTATATTCTCGCCATGGTAGAAGAAGAAACCTCTACTCCAGAGAGAGCGATGTGAGTACCCCAATACCCTTACCTCCTGTCACTATGGGAATACAAGACTAGGCCCCGGTGCTAGGACCCGGGACCTCGCCGGGGAATTCGATGAGAGCAACTTTCTACAAGACGGGAAATCGTGAGACCTTATTGGACCTATTGAATATTTGTAAGAATTTTCTTGTGCGTATAAATCGAGCGAGTGATTAGCCGTGAAGCAAATGTGCAGCGACGGGTAGTAATTGATTGATTGATTACTTCATTAATAGCGACGGGTAGTAAGCCTGTAATGATCTACCCTATACGTTAGCTATGAGAGATACGAATTATATTTTCTCTCTGGGGTGTTCCATACCATTTATTTTAGACCCAACGCCTATGACGGGGCAGATATTAGGAAGCTGACTGTCTAATTCCGGCGTATTTGCCGAGGTCTTCGATATAACTGCCTTTTGTCGCTGAAAACTTTCGCTCTTGCTCCGTTAAGAACATTCAAAACTATCTGATGCTAAATTTTAAACCCGGTCGAGAAGTAGCTCTTGATACCGCTAGGTACACTGGCCCTTTTCGCAGTACCCATCTTGGATCTATGGCGCGTTGTTATTTGCGATTCGCGATAGAATTCGATTGGAAGGTGGGGGTCATATTTTTCCCATAAATCAAAACCAGGTCGATTCTTAAACTCCTCAATTAGCGAAGGACTCCGATTATTGATTTGCAATTTTTAGGTAGCCTACTATCGTTAATAAATCATTTCTAAACTCTTTCTTCGGCACTCTGCCTATCAAGACCCTCATCCTCCAGTCAGACTTCTACCAAAACCCCTTCTCAATAGACTAGATAGCCTTGGGCTTATTCTCAGGTTCGTTTGGGATCACCTGGTAGGTCGAACAGCCATGCGGAGTATGTTGTTACGCGAGTTTATCGGGCCCAGGAGAAGAGCTCAAATGAAATAAAGTCTGTGTCCATGGCGATCGGAACATATTTTGAAGACATCGAGCCAGTTGACGAATAACTTCCAGAAATAGTCGGAGATAGTTGCACTCCTTCTTACTCGTAACTCGTATTAGGTCTGTATCGTATCTGCAGTATACGAGGGCTGTTCGTCTTTAGTCCTACCCAAGTCGAGCGATGAGTAGAGCACGTCTATCTGAAGAAATGGGATTCTATACTTGGTCAGGTCATTACTTCTCAGTGTGAAATCATTAGATATCACTCGCCCCCCGGAAAGAACAGTTTATGGAGGGACAATAATGGGGGAACATGACGCAAATATAGAATCCTTAGGGTGAGATCGAAATTTCCACCCCACATCCCACAGATTGACCTGGAGCTGAGCTCTCGAATCGCACGTGCCGGCCGAAAGCACAAACTTACATATAGTACATGAATAATCGATACTTCTGAGAGCTATTGGTGATGGCGGGCGTGAGAGTTATTAAAGCCAGGTCCGACGGAGTAACAGCCGATGGTAGCAAGGATTTTCGATCCGACAGTTTTCCCAGTTGTGGATGATTGGCTAGTTGAGTGGTTGGGTGTTAAGACCAGAGTGACACTTTGGTCTTATCCTTTGGCTCAATTTTAAGGTTAGGCCAGAGCTATGACAGATTCTGCTGGTAATCCGACAGTACGTCAACTAAGTCTTCCTTTACGGATATAACTCATTCTTTTTCATTCCATGATCTGAACCCTTGAACATAGGTCGCCGACCACGCCGCAGCATGGCTAGATACATCTATGTGGGCAGTGTAAATAGAGTAGGTAGAGTAGGTACATTATGTAGGTGCTCTAATCTAGACCCGTCTTCTATGAACCAAGATCTAATAATACGTGCTGTGGTAGGAGTATTCTCAGGCTGAACGCTACCAGGGTAAATTGATCCTTACTAGTAGTACGAAAGCCTACATAGTTATAGGTACTCTGACATCATGATATCACACGTACGGAAAGAACCCTGGAGTTGGAAGATTTCGTCCGTCGGTGCAGTTTGTTTATATGAGAAAACTACCTAGAACGAGACTAGGACTTGGGTTGGCAAAGCTTAAGGTCGACACCACAGCCATCACAACTTTATATCGGACCCTTTTAACCCAAATATTGAGATCTGAAGCATAGTAGGAGAGTAGGAAGATACGAATACTACGTATACATGTAGGAGTGAGATAACTGTGAATTATCAGGCATTCCCTTAACCTCACTTACTCGCCCGAGTAGATTGGGTAAATTAAAGGCTCTAATTCCCTCTGGGCTTATTTCTTTGCTCGGCGAGTCTGTACTGGTTGGACCACCAATAGAAACTCAAAAGGAGTGTGCTGTTTAATACCCCGGCCTCGGTCTGGTACGATAACAAAGAAGTAATAGTCAATGATAAGTATGTTGCTCATGATTCATAGTTGTCCTCTTTACGGATAGCTACCGACTAAAAAGACCTGGGTACCCTTGTTGTGGGGTTGAGAAAGCTCTATCACAGCTGAGATGTGGATGATTTACATACGGATACAGCTAGCTACATATGAATATCGGATAATACCTGCCGAGCGCTGCTTCTTCGCTTATCTTACTAAACGCAGCCTATATAATGGTCACCAACAATTACTAAATTTAAGACTAGACGTATTGCGGAATACCCAGGTGTCTTCAGTTAATGCGGACCGGAGGTGGCCCTGCCCAATCGGACTGGAAGTCTCGGCGGCGAATGGTGCCTGAATCGTGGTCATGGACTCATGGTGCACAACCAAGTATATATCTTTTCTTTCTCCCCCCAAATATATAGAAGTATGGGTCGAATATATATTATTCTTAGTTACAGCCACGGAGATACTCTATATCTTTAACCATGTCCACCATGTTCACCATTACCTCCCTCCTCATCTTCTCAACACTTGCAACTGCCCGTTTTAATGTCCCCTCTAACTTTCGTGTTGATGTTCATACCCACTTTATTCCCGACTTCTACCGGGAAGCCCTCATAAACGGCGGTAATGCCGAAATTCGCAATGGGACGGAAGTCTGGTCAGAAGGAACTATAATACCTGAATGGAGCATCGAAGCACAGATAGAAACGATGGATACAAACGGAGTAGATTACTCAGTACTGAGCCTATCTGCACCCGGTGTTGCATTCTTGCATGGAAACCCC